TAGAATTTGAGGGCAAAAATTAAACTCCAATTATCAAGGAAAATGGCCTCAAAGTTGCAATGTAATGTAATGGGTTAGTGTGGGTACATATCCAAGACAATGTATGCAATAATTACTGAATAATGCCCTGGGGAATTCTAGCTTCAACTCAATGTAATGTAATGATAGTGTAAGTAAATAGCTCGGTAATTAATCAATATACCCCAGACAATTTATTGAATTATTTCCCAATATTAATGCCCAAATGGTTTGAAGCCTTTTAAATACCTGATTTAATAAATTCCATTATCGAAAATAAATCCATAGTTTCGGGACATTTATCGAAATTGTTAATAAAACCCCTTTGTAGAGAATTCAAATTCTCTATCGAATAAGATATGCGGTGTCAAATCGCCACAAAATGGTGAAAATTTATGGGAAATCAGTAAAGTTTATGGTTCTTTTTGGGATCCTTTCTACAAAATGACTTGAAATTTCGAAATTTTGACTTTGGCTTTTGGCCTCAACACAGGAAACTCTGAAAATGACGAAATTTAGAATTACAACCAACCATAACTAGGTAACGGTGAGTCGTAGAGAAAAACTCTTCACGGGCAGATTGTAGAGCTCGACAGTATCTACAAAAAAGCTTATCGAGTCTCACCTCTACGACTTACAAAAAATCAAAATCATAATTTCCCGAATTTTCTTTCACTACGTCATAGAAGAGGTCCAGAGAAATGTCGGAACATATTTTTCCCCCCAATTTCCCGTTTTCCAGAAGTTTTCGGCCCTTTTCAATACCCCATAAAACGGAAAATCGAAATTTTGGAAAAACAAAAATTTCACTGTATAGAAGAGGTCAAAACAAGCAGAAAAGCTATTTTGCATTTTTCCATAATATGTCTCTTAAGCCCGGAAAAAAATGAAAAAGAAAATTAATAGGGATATGTGTGGCTTTTCTAGTCTGACATGGTCTTATTAAATGGGCCATAACTCTGGGACGCCCGGATCGATTTCAATAAATCATGTTTCATTCGATAAAGGAATAAATTTCCCACAGAATGGCTTTATCTAGAATTATCCCATTTCTAAGTTATGAGCCTTCAAAGTTAAATTTTTCTCAAAAATTTTGTTTCAGGTGGAATTTCAACTTCCAGGACAACTCCTAGTGCCCTTTTGTCCATTTCTTATCGGTAATTATGGAAGAAAATAAACAATAGAACGCCTTTTTTTAAATTATTTTCCTCCCAATAATGCAGTGACTTGAGACAGTGACATGTTTAATATGGGTATCGGTCAACTTTGTTAGTTTTCGTTCAATTGATTTGAATTTTTAGTATGTTTTGTATGTATTCCCTCAAAATTTCATATTCGTGCTTCAAGTAGGTAAATTAAAATTCACATTGAAATGTGGAGGCATGTCATTGGGATAGATTTTCTGGAACGTTTCAACTTTGAAGGCTGATAACGCAAAAACGGGACAACTATCGACAACTATATTTTGTTTTTTAATGATATCCTTTGTAATCCCTCAAACTACATACACTAATTTATTTTGAGATTTGGGACCGGAATCTGCGAAAAAAAGCACTCGGAAAAATTGATAAATGCCCCAAAATTGCTTAACACAATTTTATTTCTGGAAGTATAGATCCAAATGATCTGAAATTTTCAGGGATTGTAGTCCTCTACTGGAATAAGAATCGCTGAAAATTTCAGCTTTCCATCTATAATAGAAAAAAAGTTATGACCTTTCAAAGTTTTCCAAGATATGAATCTAAAACGATGAAATTTCAAAATGTTTTTTGTTGAGATTTTGTATCTTACTCCATACACTAAATTATTCTAAGATTTGGAGCCAGAATCTAAGGTGAAAATGTCCATATTTTCACAATAGTTAAATGAGGTTCCCCAAACGGTGTATATTGATACTGCCCATAACTTCTAGTATTATTTGTACCCGAGACTAGGGTAGAAATGTCTATTATCACAAAAACCGTTTTTTCGATGAATTGCAATTATTAGAGCCCCTTAAACCATATGACTATTACCTAATATTAATGCCCAGGTGCTGTATAGCCTTTTAGGGCCAAATTATGGACTGACTGGTAAACGTCTGGTTGTTACCTAGCAGGTACTTTCTATGCACTAGAGAATAGGAAGTACCTACCTGCTAGGTAACAACCAGACACTTACCAGTTGGTCCATAATTTGGCCCTTAAATATCTAATTTGAAAAACTCCATTACCAAAAACAAATCCATGGGTAGTTTTGAAAGGAAAACATCACAGAATTAAGGCCTGTTTACGTTCAAGGAACAACAAGAATGGGATTTTAGGGTTGAATAAAAAGAATTGGGAATTCTAGCCTCAAATTTACAATGTAATGTAATGATAATGTAGGTAAATAGTAAATACCCCAGACAATTTATTGAATTATTTCCCAATATATTAATGCCCAGGTGGTTTGTAGCCTTTTAAATACCTCTGATTTGAAAAACTTTGTTATCAAAAATAAATCCTAAGTTTTGAAAAGAAAACATCACAGACTTAAGGCCTGTTTACATTTACAACCAAAACAAGAATGTAATTTTAGGGCTGAAATAAAGGAATTGGAATTCTAGCCTTAAATTTACAATGTAATGTAATGATAGTGTAGGTAAATAGTAAATACCCCAGACAATTTATTGAATTATTTCCAAATATTAATGCCCAGGTGGTTTGTAGCCTTTTAAATACCTTTGATTTGAACAACTCTGTTATCAAAAACAAATCCTGAGTTTTGAAAAGAAAACATCACAAAATTAAGGCCTGTTTACGTTTACAACCAAAACAAGAATGGCATTTCAGGTGATTTTAGGGCTGAAATAAAGGAATTGGGAATTGTAGCCTTAAACTTACAATGTAATTTAATGATAGTGATATTGAATTACTACCCTGTAATGCCCTGGTATCTAGCCTTTTAAATATTTCAGGTAGGTAAAGTATTTAAAGAACTCCATTATCAAAAATCAATAATTTCAAAATAAAAACATCACATTACAAAATTAAGGCCTGTTTATGTTTACTACCAAAACAAAAGCAGCATTTTTAAGGCTGAATAAAGGAATTTGGAATAATTCTAGCCTTAAACTTACAATGTAACGTAATAGTCGGTGTAGGTACGTAAATATACCCTCATCAGACAATTAATTCAATTATTATTACTCTGCCCTATTCTCCAGCCTTTTAAATAACCGAGGTGAGTATTTAAAAAAACTCCATTACATTTATGAAACAAAAACATTACATTACAAAATTATTAAGGCCTGTTTACGTTTCACGACCAAAACAAAAAGGACCTCTAATGCAATACCCTGGGCTTAATGCCCCCCCGAAAACAAAAAAACACCACAACAAAGGGGCATTACCTCGTTTCCAAAAAGTACAGTTTGATTATTCCGCTCGTAAACTATCACTAAAAGTTTATTGTCACCATTTTAGACGTTTTTTCATTTAAAGTTACGCTTAAAACTAATTAAAAAACCCGGAGATTCGCGAAAAGTTCAGACATTTCCTCCATACCAAACAGAGATTATCGGACAAACTGAATTCAATTTGCCTGAAGAACCCCTGCTGACGGTAGCGACAGCGCGAGGAAGGCATCTGGCGCTTGCTCGATAGGGACAAAGAGAATTTTAGTATTTATAATCTAGTATAAATAATTGTTTGTTAATATTTAACAAAATTTATTTATTCAAATAGTTTATAATCCAGTTGGCCCTTTTCCTACGTACCACTGTTAACTAGTATTACATTACATAGTTTTACTATTATTTTGCTCACTAGGTGGCGTTATTTACTTTACTTTGCCGTTTTCTGTAGTCGTTTTTCTTTCATTGACGAATTGGCGCCAAATGTTTAAGCGGTTATAGGTAAAACTCACTGTACTTTATTTCCATATGACACGAGAGGCTTAAAAAGTGATAAGCCTTTTGGGATTATCGCGCTTGGTGTATTAAAGTTTAGTTCGTTGTAGGTATAACCTTTTGAATACCACTCGATGTTTCAGGATTACCTAATACTTTTACCTGACCACTCAACGCGTTACCAGCAACACCACTTCTCCTTCAGCAACACCACTCCTCCTTCAGCAACACCACTCCTCCTTCAGCAACACCACTCCTCCTTCAGCAACACCACTCCTCCTTCAGCAACACCACTCCTCCTTCAGCAACACCACTCCTCCTTCAGCAACACCACTCCTCCTTCAGCAACACCACTCCTCCTTCAGCAACACCACTCCTCCTTCAGCAACACCACTCCTCCTTCGGAGTCGTGGTGTTGCTGCGTAACGCGTTTCATGACAGGTAAGAGTATTATCCGGTAATCCTGAAACTTCTGTATTATCATAGTATAGATAGCAATTCAGTCAACTAACTACTAAGCCAAGGGTATTTGAGACAAGTAGGTTGCCTGGATAAGTAAATGACGTCATCTGGGGTGTCTTAACATAGTGCAAATCTCCCTTGATGTGAGAAGTCTTGTAATTAGAAAAGGTGGCAGAGAATGACTGATTACACTCTGAGCATCTACTTCTTTGTTGTCGAATACTTGATAGGGTGCCTAACCTAGTAAGACTCTGTAGTAAGCAGTTGACTGTTAGGTGAGATTGAGTACAAATGACTGATGATTTAATACTGATTTATTTAAGGAACGGTAACACTATTTATACACAAATAAATGCAATATTTACAAAGGTAAATAACTAAAGTGCTGACTTAGATGTTTTACTGACCCACTGTTCGTAATGTCGATGACTTTAAAAAAGCTTGGTAAATGGAAAATAAATATTTGTTACAAAATTATAAGTTTTAAATTTGGAAGAAAATATGGCTAATTTGTAATTAGACATTCTGATCACTCGGTTCTGGAAAAAAATGGCTAATCTCTGATTAGACAACCCGAGATGCATCATCAAGTTACCCAGTACCAGACAACCTATTAACTTTAGGATCCTTGAGCCTAGTCCAGTCTATGAAACATCCAACTAATTGTTGATAAAAATAAAAGACATTCCTAGAGTTTTTAAAAATGAAGCTTTATTTTTTTAATTATTAACCAAATACTTATACATTATAATATAAATTATAATAATTATACACCTTCTTTTCTTTTTTTTTTTTCAAATCAAAGGTAGGGTGCGTGAGTAGGTGACAGTCGTACAAAAAAAAAGAAATAAAAATAAAAATGTAGTAAGCGAACACACGCCGCCTAAAAAAAGAGGTTAGTTTGGGTTTTGACTCTCCTATTGACGATCAGTAGCCCTCAGTTTTTCCTCTACAGCTTCCTGGCTGGCTTCCGAAAGGTCTGTGGCTTGAATATACTTTTGTACTCCAACCAATGATTTTTTGAGAGCATCAAAGGAGCTAGAGTACAACATCTTCTTTTTGACTTTGGCGGTGTCCGGGCACCAGGACATGAGGAAGAGTTTTTGTTTTTTGCTAGCCTCGGAGGTACCCTGGCACTGGTGCGTGTACTCGAAATCGTAGAGGCCGTAGCGGCATTCGCCTGCGCCTCCCGCTTGCAAGTTTGTCAAAAACTGATCGTATTCTTCATCGCGAGCACCGATTACCTCTACGTCGATTTGTTTCTCGTCTTTAATAAAGAAGATAACGTAACGATGTTTCTTGTCTTTTTTGATCTCTTCGTATGTTGTTTTGCAGACGTCTGATACTGTTACACCAGAAGCCTGAAATTAAAAAATAAAATAATCATCTAATAATAAAAATGATTGTGACTTTGGCCATAGAACAAAATTCTAGGAGTGTAAAATTAGACATTTTCTAAAAATCGTTGACTTTTCAAACACCAACGTCTAAATTTATATTGGTCTTTAAACAACTGTTGTGCGAGATGATTTGCCTGCTGGCTCAACTACTCCAATAATTTTAAATTATTTAAAACAAAATTTAAAGGCGTGTGTGTGGTTGAAATACAGTTATGATGATTGTATCGAACAAAGAAAATATTTTGTGTGTAGTTTAGAAAAAAAAAAAGATATCTTTTTATCTAACTATTAATAGGTATGCGTCAAAAAATAGAACAAAAACATTTTGGTTTCAGTCATTAAATAGGTAAAAGCTGATAAGGAAAATTGCTTTGTGCATTTTGTTTATTAGCCATAAGCAAATCAATAAAATAATAATTTATTGGATGGTGAATCATAGCAAAATCATTTCCTTTTAAAATGATTCATTTTTTTTTTTGTGGTAATAATTATTCTTAAAAATTAATAATTGATATTGACAAGGATATTGGTAAAAGATTTTTCTGTTTTCGAGTTTCAAATTCATGAATTTTCTTTATTTTGCCAGAATCTTGAATAAATCAAAATTAAGAAACTTTCAAGCTTCTCAGAAGTCAAGTCATTGAAGTTGATTGGAACTATCAACTAAACATTTGTAGAGAATTTAATTGGCCTTAATTTGAGCCTAATTACATTAAGATCGGATTGAAATATATGAAGTAATGTATTGTCCCAAATTCGAGCCTAATCACATTAGGATCGGATTGAAATTAAAAAAGTTGTGAGCAAAAATGGGTGACAATGTCATTTTACAAGTTACAAAAAATGACAACGAAATTTTATTTTTCTTTGAGGAAGGTTTTGCAGGGATTGGATTGAAATTTTGCAATTGGAGAGAGAGAAGATTGGAAATTTGGAGAAAGATTTTTTAGAGTAGAGATAGGTTTTTTGAGGTTAAAATGGCAGCTGATGTTTATACTAAACCTCCTGATGTTTCCTTCAAGTTCCCTAGACTATTTTGATGTGCGTATTATGGTGATAAAGCAACTAACTTAACTTTGCACACTTAAATATAAGATCAGCGTTCACAGGACTTGTGGAGTTTGCTAATATAATTGAAAGTAACAGTTTTATTGTGGTCGGTGTAACAGAGCGATACATTATCATATGTTGTCAGTATCCCAGGGTATAATTTTTATCAAAAAATCGTGATAGAGGAAGTGGAGGAGGGGTAGGATTTTACATACAAAAAGTCATTAAAATGTGAGAGTTTGTGTTTTGAAAATTAAATCTACCAGATGGTTATGAGCATTATTGGAGGCGTAGTAAAATAAATCATAAATTGTCAATGTCGGTAGGTGTTGTTTATAGAGTAGGAAATAATACTCTAGAATGTGTAAATTGCCTAGACAGGTTGTTGTCTGAGGTTGTACCTATGGATGAGTATACTCTGGTTCTTGGCGATTTGAACATAATTATGTTAAATATTCATAACCAAGTTAACAGATTATTTGATAGTTATGGCTTTTTTCAGATAATAAATAGATGAGCCAACTCGTTTGACTGGTTCAACGACCACTCTACTGGACCCAATTTTTATAAATGACAAAAATGTTGTGAGTCAAAGTGGTACAAAGGACTCAAATGGTGTTAATGATCATCTGCTAACATATTGTAATGTGAAGATTTCATGTATTAAAAAATTTGAAAAATTTTTGAACATAAGGGACTTCAAACATTTTAGGGATTTGATCTGCAAACAAATCAAACAATGGTAAGGTGGGATGATCTTAATTATTTTCATGAAAGTAAAGTTAAATATCTCACTGACAATATAAAGAATTTGTTTGAGAAACATGCACCTTTGAGGTCCATTAGAGTGACAAAGCCGCTTCCGCCATGGCTGACATATGCAATTAGATGTTTAATGAAGGAAAGAGATGATGCTAGGCTTAATTTTAAAATGAGAAACACTGCGCAAAGTCTTGAAAACTATAAAATGCTCAGAAACCTTATCAAATCCTCGATATGTAGAGAAAAGTTGGCTTATTTGGAATTTTTAGAAAATCAAAAAAATGAGCGTAAAGTTTGGAATACTTTAAAGGACCTAAATATTGCATATTACACATATAATAGTTGTCTGGAACGAGGTCATTTTCCAAGCTCATGGAAGCAATCTCTTGTCTCTCCATTACCTAAGAAACATGATCCTGTCAATTTCTCAGATTTGAGGCCTGTGAGTCTGCTTCCTGTTATCTCTAAAATATTGGAAAGGGTAGTGCATATACAGGTTACTGAATATTTTGACAGAAATGGGTTTTTTTATGTATAGGGTATCCAAGATTCGATAGTTTTTGAGGGATTTTGAGTATTTCTAAAGGAGTTGGAAAAGATCTGATTCCCACTTACGAGCCTCGATTTTCAAGAAAAATTGACTGGTGAAAACCGCATCTCGATATGTCGAGTCGTTTTTATGCTATGAAAAGTCTTTGGGAAGTTTGGAGTTTGGCAGAGGGTCTATAACTTTTTGTAGCTTAAAAACAAATTGATATATCAAAAGGCAGGTTTCACCGGTCAACTTCTCTTGAAAATCGAGACTCGCGGGGTCAGATTTTTTCCAACTCCTCCAGAAATACCCGAAACCCACCAAAACCATCGAATCTTGGACACCCTGTACAACAATCAGGTTTTAGAACAAATCATAACACAACAGCACTTCTGGATATAACTGACAATATTGTGAAAATCCAAGATAAGCAAATGGCAGCTATTCTGATATTGTTGGACTACTCTTTTTTGAAGTAATTGATCATGATTTGATGTGTGCTAAATTGTCTTTTTATGGGTTTGATGAGCTAGCAGTGTTGTTTTTCAGGTTATAATTATTGGGCCGTAGGCAGGTGGTTAGGTTAAGTGGATCAACATCAAAATGTAAGCACATAATTTCGGGAGTGCCTCAAGGCTTAATTCTTGGTCCTCTATTGTATGTTATTTATACATCTGATATCTTTTCCACTGTGTCAACTCACACCTCCAATTGTATGCTGATGATACAGAATTGCTCTTCCAGTTTATTCCAGATTTCCCTGATGAAGCTTCAGGGCTGTTGAACTTAGAGTTAGGTAATATACTCAAATACTCTATAGACCATAATCTTAAAATTAATTCAAACAAGACTACAATGCTACTGTTCTGTGCAGAAAAAAGGGATTGGATTGAAATTTTGCAAATGGAGAGAGAAAAGATTTAAATTTATGAAAAAAAATTTTAAAATTTCCTTTTGCTGATCAACTTTGAGAAAAATTCAAAGGAAAACACTTTGAAGCTTCACAGCTTAAAAACTCTTGAAACAGCGTTGAAACTACCAAATAAGGATTTATAGAAGATTCAATTATCCTTAGTTCAAGCTTAATTACATGAGAGTCGGATGGAAATTAGAAAAGTTTTGAGTGAAAATATGTGTCAATGTCATTTTGGAAAAAATCAAAGTTCCAAAAAACAACATTGAAAAACGTTTTATTTTTCTTTGAGGAAAATTTTGCAGGGATTGGATTGAAATTTTGCAAACGGAGAGGAAAGATTGAAAGGACCCCGCAATATTTAAATGGAAATTGGTTACCCGTGATATTTGGATGAAATTTAAATATGTTATTGGGGATGCTGTAAGCAACATTTTTTACCATGGGCACAACCCTGTATATATGACAGGTGAGGCGTGGTTAGCTGTCAAATATTGGAATCTTATACATATCCAAAAGCGGAGTAACTATGGCAGATTTTGATGAACAAAAAATCTATTTCTACTAAGTTGACCAAGTTAAGTTGAAAAATGTCAACCATTTTGACACCTGTCAAAACCCTGCCAAACGGCAGCATTCATCTTTTCCAGTTTTCAATATTTTATGATGTCATCTGACATTTTTAACTTGTATGTAAATTCTGAATTCAAAAATTGAAAAAAAAAATGACAGAACTGTTAAAGCCTGTCATTTGTTTTAGTAGAAAAAAATATTCTAATCTGGTTCATTCTCGTTTTAAGGTAGTTTATTGGCGATAAAACATTGAACAGTTCATGCACGTCACATTTTGACAGCTATCAGAATCTGTCAATAGCTTTAATTCAAAAAAGAATCAAATTAAGTTCTTTTCCAAATTAAGTTGGGCTTATTTATGATAACGCATGAAAAAACATTATACGCAGGTTTCAGATTTTGACAGAGATGTCAATTTTCATTTTAAAGTACTTAGTTTTAGTATAAAGGATTTTATATAGGTGCCTGCGATTTTTTTTTGAGTCCTTTAATGAAATCATTATAATACTCAGTACTATAATTAAATCATTAAAGTACTCAAACATTTTGACACTCACAAATGAAATCTAAAATGATGTAATTTTGACATTTTTGACAAATTGGAGAAGAACTAGATTTGATTATTTTTTGAATTAAAGCTATTGACAGATCATGACAGCTGCCAAAATGTGACGTGCATGAACTTTGTTCAATGTTTTATCACCAATAAACTACCTTAAAACGAGAAAGAACCAGATTGGAGTATTTTTTTCTACTAAAACAAATGACAGGTTTTGACAGTTCTGTCATTTTTTTTTCAATTTTTGAATTCAGAATTTACATAAAAATTAAAAATGTCAGATGACATCATAAAATATTGAAAACTGGAAAAGATGAGTGCTGCTGTTTGGCAGGGTTTTGACAGGTGTCAAAATGGTTGACATTTTTCGACTTAACTTGGTCAACTTAGTGGAAATAGATTTTTTGTTCATCAAAATCTGCCATAGTTACTCTGCTTTTGGATATAAGATTCCAATATTTGACAGCTAACCACGCCTCACCTGTCATATATACAGGGTTGTGCCTATGGTAAAAAATGTTGCTTACGGCATCCCCAATAACATATTTAAATTTCATCCAAATATCACGGGTAACCAATTTCCATTTAAATATTGCGGGGTCCTTTATGAAAGAATTAAAAATTTCTTTCTGCTGCAAATAGAGATTTGATGAGGATTCAATTATCCTTAATTCAAGCCCAATTACATTAGAATCGGATTGAAATTAGAAAAGTTATGAGCGAAAATGTGTATCAATGTCATTTTGGAAAAAATCAATGTTTTAAAAAACAACATTGAGAGACGTTTTATTTTTCTTTAAGGAAAATTTTGCATGGATTGGATTGAAATTATGTGAATGGAGAAGGAAAAGATTGAAATTTATGTTAAAAATTAAAAATTTCTTTCTGCTGATCCACCTTGAGAAAAATCCAAAGGAAAACACTTTGAAGCTTCACAGCTTGAAAACTATTGAAGTAGCGTTCAAATTACCAAATAGAGATTTGAAGAGGATTTAAAAATCCTTAATTCAAGCTCAATTACATTAGAATCGGATTGAAATTAGAAAAGTTAGGAGCGAAAATGTGTGTCAATGTCATTATGGAAAACATCAAAGTTCCTAAAAAGGACATTTGAGAGCTGTTTTATTTTTCTTTGAGGAAAATTTTGCAGGGATTGGATTGAAATTTTGCAAATGGAGAGAGAAAAGATTGAAATTTATGAAAAAGATTAAAAATTTCCTTCTGCTCATTCACCTTGATAAAAACCCAAATAAAAACACTTTGAAGCTTCACAGCTTGAAAATTATTGATGCAGCGTTGAAAATACCAAATAGAGATTTGAAGAGGATTCAATTGTCCCTAATTCGAGCCTAATTACATTACGATAGGATTGAAATTACAGAAGTTGTGAGCAAAAATATGTGTCAATGTCATTTTGGGAAAAATCAAAGCCCCAAAAAATGACAAAGAGAAAGTTTTATTTTTCTTAGAGGAAAATTTTGCAGGAGTTGGATTGAAATTTTGCAAATGCAGAGAGAAAAGATTGAAATGTATGGAGTAAATTTCTTTTTGCACACTCATTTCAATAAAAATCAAAGTCGAAAGATGTTAAGCTGTGTAGCTGTAAAATCACTCAGGCTGGATTTGAAATATTAAACAGAGATTTGTAGAGGCTTTCATTTCAGTCTAATTACATTAAAATCGGATTGAAGTTAACAAAGTAGTGAGACAAAATATGTGGCAATGTCAAATCAAGATTTCAAAAAATTACACTGAGAAACATTTAATAATTATTATTTTTGAGGATTGGACTGATATTTTACAGAGGAATAAAAAAAAAACGTTAAAATTTGAAAATTCACAAAAATCACAATACTTTGAAACTTCGCAGCATTAATTTAAAGCCTAATTACATTATGATCAAATAGTAATTAACAATGTTGTGACAAGTAGAAATATCGCAGTGATTGCCACGAAACCATGGGATTTTTCCAATGACGTATTAATTTTTTTGGCTGGAGTGGATTGTTTTTTTCCTTGTAAGTGTTGATTGTTGATTAAAAAAAAAAATACAACTCACTGGCCAAGTTTGAACTAATTTTAATGTATTTGTTTTCTCAAATTTTCCCTTTTACAAATTCAAAAAATCAGTAGGATGGAAGACTCTCCAAAAGTCTATTTCCACAGAAATCACAAACCAGTCATAGCATTTTTGATTGGTCCAAATCGCCAACAACCAGTTTCCTGACTATTTTCAACCAATGAAATTCGGTCTCACTGGTTTGTGATTTCTGTGGAAACAGACCTTTAATCTTTAAAATTCCCATTTGAAATCAAAGAAAATCTAGGATGATTTTAAACATAATTTACTTGGAATGCATTGTAAATCGCCAGTGCTGTTGATAAACAACTATAATCATCAATAAATTTAAACAGTGATAGGTATTTTTAATGAGAGTTGAAACGTTTTGCCATTTGAATTTTGATCGTCAACATTCCACTTGTAGTCCAATATAGTTTATGCTCAATCTATTTTGAGTTGTGGCTTTTTTTTATTGATACGATAATCATTAGAAATTTGTACTTACTTCAAATACAAAATAGGACAAAAATAAATGAATTCAAGCCTGTTTTCCTTGGTTCAACGCAAGCAAGGTCCACCAAATATGGATAATTTTAGATCAATTCTGGGCTATTTTTAGAAGGCCCACATGGAGTTTATTTTTAGTACCATCACGTTTATATTTTTGAAAAACCAAATTGGTCTATCTAAGTATATATTAATCCAGATTTTTTTTAATTAAAAAAAAAGACCAAACTGAAAAATGAGTTGATTGGTTGACTGTTATTAGTTATATCGAATATCATTTGAATTTATAAATAGCCACTTTTTTAAAAGGAATTCCTGCGATAAAACGATAAGGATGGTTTTATTAATCTACAACAGCCTTGAAAGGAAAACCAACAGACCAAAAGGAATGATGAATGATTCACCGTTTTACTATGAGTAGTCAGATTCTAACGGTTTTAAAGCAACACACCCCTCTAGCTGTGAATTAATAATTTATAAGCATTTTATAGCTGAAATTACTTTAAAAAAGGTGAATTAAAATAAATTGCAATTTGCCACAGCAAGCTAATATTGCAATGGCCGCCCGGCATAAGATTACCCCCTTTTTTTTTGCAAAAGCTACTTTTAGCAACGATTTTTATATGAAATTTTATTTTATTTTTAATTAAAAACCAACTAAATTAACCATATTTACCATTTTGATTTAATCCAAATTGGAAAATTCACTAGATAAATTACTATTAAAAAGACTGCTCCTGTGGTTCGCTGACGAAGTCTTCCACGCACCGACGTTGGTTTTTCTGTGTTTTCTACACAGAGATTTTCATGAATTTGATCGCTCCAATTGACACACACCATATATATTTGTCACTTTCTTTTCATCTGTGGTAGAAAGAGATAAAAATAGTTCATTAATTTATTCCGTTTATTTCAATATCGTGTAGGCATGCGTCAACCGGCTTTATAACATTACCAAAATAAGACTTTTTCGTTTGGTTTAGGCCTAAATTAATCTTTTAGATGATTTTCATTAGTAGTTCCTTTTAGCTTGTAGGCTCATTATTAAATTTTTAAGATATGCCTTTAAAAAACCGATAAAAAAAATTAAAAACCAGTGAACTAGTTTTCGTAGCGCATTAATGCCAAAAGGCGGGAAGTTCAAATGAAATTTGTAAGTGCCTAGAAATAATCACTTGAGTTGCAAAAATGTTTACATAAAACTTTTCTAGTTCAACAATAGAATTGTATTTCTAGAGTTTTGGTCGAGAAAATTCGAAAAAATTGGGTAAAAACTGTGAGTCACTCCAACCGACCAATGCAAAGCCGGCTTGTTTCAAATGCCCATAAAAGGAAAAGGAGAGTCGATTCAATATGGCCACCGGCTCCGAATTAAAATATATTCCCGCCACGCCCCGAAAATCGAATATTTTTCAAATAAATATCGATAGTTATGATCGATATTGATAATTATCATTAATTTTCTTATGTATTATTAGTTGCATTTTTAATTTATTGCAAACTGAAAGGTCAACGCACGTTTAATTAAAATTTAATTTATTAATTCATTGCCTTATATGGTAAAAATGGAAATATATTTTGCACAATATATAAAGCTTCTGTTATTTGATATTTGAAAATGCTGTTATTTGTTTTTAGTTATTCAAAAACTTTCAATGATGAGATATCTATCTTCAAAAAAAAAAAATTCATCCCAACCAAAGCAAAATGAAAACCCTTAAGTTTGGCAACATTTCAAATTACTCGAATCTCTTTGACAGTTGACAATGTTGCCAAGTTTTGTTATTAGCAGCTAACTTCACTTTTGTTATGATATTTATGCCTCGATTTGTGATTCTACTCAAAACAGATTTTATTTTTTTGCTGTGATTATCTTGAATATTTTCCTCGTTTTCAACTTAATTTAAAATGAATGAAGCGGGCCCCAGTACGCAAAAGGACGATCCAGACGATGACGATCCAGTAGTACGAGAGGTTAGTCTTTTTAGTTAGGAAAATTCCAATTTTCTTTGGGAGTGGAGGTTAAAAGCCGTTACACCATGTGGAGTTTTGGAGATTTTTTAGTAGAAATTATCAGATTTTTAATTAATTAGGTTGCACTAATAATTAATAGATAAAAAAGACGTTTTAGGTAGATATTTTTAACTATTATTAAGTTTGGCTTAGGTCCAGTTTATTCATCTTCAGATGAACTTGCTGGTACCTATCTGCAAGATAAATTTATCGATCTTTAATCCTATAGGTCGAGGGATAAAATAAAAATACAGACTGCGTTTTTATCCCTCAGGTTGCATTACCTGACAGTTCGTCAGAAGGTGAATAAACCTGCTAAACCGCAGAATAAGGGTTTTCAAAATGACAACAGCACTCCTCTTAACTCACAACTTTTTTAATTTCAATCCGATTTCAATGTAATTAGGCTTGAATTAAAGACAATTGAATCCTCTACAAGTTTCTATTTGTCAGTTTCAACGCTGCTTCAATAGTTTTCAAGCTGTGAAGCTTCAAAGTGTTTTTATTTGGATTCTTATCAAGGTGGATGAGCAGAAAAAAATTCTAATTTTTTTTCAGAAATTTCGATTTTTTCTCTCTCCATTTGCAAAATTTCAATCCAATCCTTGCAAAATTTTCCCCAAAGAAAAATAAAACATCTCTCAATGTTTTTTTTTGGAACTTTGATTTTTTCCAAAATGACATTGACACACAACTTCTTTAATTTCAATCCGTTCCTTATGTAATTAGGCTTGAATTTAAGACAATTCAATCCTCCACAAATATCTATTTGGAAGTTTCAACACTGCTCCAATAGTTTTCAAGCTGTGAAGCTTCAAAGTGTTTTTACTTGAATTTTTATCAAGGTGGATGAGCAGAAGGCAATTTTCAATTTTTTTCCTAAATTTCAATCTTTTCTCTCTCCGATTGCAAAATTTCAATCCTAATCATGCAGAATTTTTCTCAAATAAAAATGAAACGTCTCTCAATGTCGATTTTTGGGAGGTTTGATTTTTTCCAAAATGACATTGATACACATTTTCGCTCACAACTTTTTAATTTCAATCCGATTCCAATCTATAGGCTTGAATCTTGGCTTGAATTGAGGACAATTGAATCCTCTACAAATCTCTATTTGGTAGTTTCAACGCTGCTTCAATAGTTTTCAAGCTGTGAAACTTTAAAAAATTTTTTGTTTGGATTTTTATCAAGGTGGAAGAGCAGAAGAAAATTTTAAATATTTTCGTAAATTTCAATCTTTTCTCTCTCTATTTGTAAAATTTCAATCCAATTCCTGCAAAATTTTCCTTAAAGAAAAATAAAACTTCTCTCAATGTCATTTTTTGGAACTTTGATTTGTTCCAAATTGACATTGGCACATATTTTCGCTCACAACTTTTTCAATTTCAATCCGATCTTTATGTAATTAAGCTTGAATTAAGGACAATTGAATCCTCTACAAATCTCTATTGGGTAGTTTCAACGCTGCTTCAATAGTTCTAAAGCTGTGAAGCTTCAAAGTGATTTTATGATGACATTGACACACATTTTCGCTCACAACTTTTTTAATTTCAATCCGATTCAAATGTTATTGGGCTTGAATTAAAGACAATTGAATCCTTCACAAATCCCTATCTGGTAGTTTCAACGCTGCTCCAATAAATCCTCTACAAATCTTTATTTTTTAATTTTAATTTGTTTATTAACGGACTTGCCATTTAGCTTTTACAATCTATCATAAATTACATTCAATGCACTAAAATTACAATAACTAAAATACAACTACAAAAAATAGAATAGGATAATTAATAGATTCACCCAGCCTTTCCAGTAATTTGATACAATTTAAAGAATTAACTTTATAAGTCTCTTAAAACAAGCAAGATCGGTACAGAAAAGATCAGCACTACCACACTTTGAATTTGCCAGCCCACATATTGTGGACATAGGACTATTTAACCCATAGTTAGTTCTATGAAAATCTATTGCAAATAAGTCATGCTGACGGGTTAATCTTTGGGGTACTCTAATATTAATATTACCAAGGGGTGTTTCACCTACCCAAAAATGTGTACACCACTGCCTAAGTTAGGCAATGTTTAATAACACTGCCTAGTCAATGCCTATGGCGATTGCTGCGAACATTTCTGTCAATACCGACAATGTCGCCATCAATGTCAAGAATGCCAACATCAATGCCGTCAATTCCGACACAATGCCGTCAATTCTGACACCAATGCCGTCAATTCTGACATCAATCCCGTAAATTCCGAAATCAATTCAATGCCGTCAATTCCGCGATCACTGCGTCAATTTCCCTTATTTACCTATTCAATACCCACAATTCCTAAATCATTTCTCTCACTGCCGTAATTATTGCCGTGAATTTGTACACCAATGCCGATCGTGAAACACCCCTCGAATATTACTTAACAATTTAGGGCTATCAATCATGCCATTTACAATTTTGAACAAAGTAATTATATCAAATTGAGTCCTTCTAACTTCCAAAAGTGGTAAATTCAACTTTCCATACAAATGTTCATAATTAATGACTTCCATGGGAATTCCCAATTTAAAATTTATAGTTCTCAAAAATCGTCTCTGAACCTTCTCCAAAGAATCTACATAAACATTATAATATGGAGACCAGGCTGGACTAGCATACTCCAACACTGACCTTACAAAACTACAATATAGTGTTCTAAAACACGTGACATCACGAAAATCAGCAAGTGTTCTATTTACAAAGCCTAACATTTTTATTGCTTTATTCCTCATATAATTTATATGGTAATCAAACCGCAGCTCACTGTCAATATAAACTCCAAGATCTTTTATAACATTTACTCTTTCCAGTTGCTCATCATAGATTTCATAATCAAATGGAATGTTCTGTTTTTTTCTAGATACAGTTAAGATCTTACATTTCTGAATATTCAATTCCATACCGTTTAACTTACACCACAGGCACAAGCTTTTTAAGTCTTTTTGCAATTCAAGACAATCTTCAGTATTCCTTATAGTCTTAAATAACTTCAAGTCATCAGCAAAAAGAAGTTTACTACTGAATTTAATTTTGGAAATAAGATCATTTATAAAAATGTCAAAAAGTATTGGTGCCAAATATGATCCTTGGGGCACTCCAGATAACACATTTATTTTAGATGATATCACATTCTTTATCTTAACTGCCAGCGTACGGTCTGATAAATACCTCTTAAACCAAGCCGGAATTGAACCATGGAAACCTACACACTCCAATTTGTGTAACAAAATATTGTGCTGCACCCTGTCAAAAGTTTTGGAAAAATCGGTGTCAATCTGATATCTGTCTTCCAAGGCCCTCGCCAGTGATTCAGTGTAGACCAGAAGGTTCGTAACAGTTGAACGACCCTTTACAAAACCATGTTGGGATGACGATAATACACTGTACACTAAAGAAGCTATCTTATTAGTTACTATTGATTCAAATAACTTTGCGATAATACTAAACTTAGAAATTGGCCTATAATTATCAACCAAAGATTTGTCGCCACTCTTGAAAATTGGAGTTACTCGAGAATCCTTCCATGGTGAAGGGAATGTTCCAGATGACAAAGATACATTATACAATTTTACTAGAATTTCAGACAATATATATTTACACTCCTTAAAAAGTTGTACAGGTAATTCATCAGGACCAGCTGATAGATTTGTTTTAATATTTACAATCGAGTTGAATACATCTATTACATTTATATTACAAGTATTAATATCAAGGGTTCTATCACAATTTACCTCCGGTACACCACACTCTATCTTCCTATAAAAAGACCCGAAAAATTCCGCAAAGAACTGTACAATTTCCTGGGGCTCATGTGTGGTTTTACCATTCAAACTCATACAATTTGGCAAGTCATAGTTACTATTTTTCACATTTACAAATTTCCAGAACGTCCCACTATCATTGATAATACTAGATTGAACATCAATGACATAGCAATCATAGCATTGTTTTATCAAAATATTACATTGTCTTCTTAAATCCCAAAACTCCCCATAAAATTGCGTATTATGTGTTTTCTTCCATAATGTATGTACCCTCTTCTTATTTAGAATAGTCGATTTTGGCTCATCACTATACCAACCAGGGAACCTCTTATTTTTAGATCTTTTTTCTGGAACATACATTTCAATACCTCTATAGAGAATAGAATAGAATTCTCGAACCGCTATCTCAACATTTTCTACATTCAAAATACTATCCCAATCAAAGCATCCCAAGAAATTGTTCAGTTCGACATAATTTGCATGCTGAAAATCAAAATACTTATAATCAAAAGACATACTATTCCTATTGGGCACAGACATGTCCAGTTCAAATAATAAGGCTGGGTGATACTTATCACATGGTAATAGTGGACTACTACAAATATCAATAATTACACTTTGAGAGTTATAAAAGATAAGGTCCAGCATAGATCCCAAAGCATTTGGAATATTATTAATTTGAAACAAATTTAGGTAGGCCATAAAATCAACAATCACAGAGGCCTAGGGTGAAATACCATTCCACACTGAGACACCCCTGTCATCACACGGCCACTTGATTTCAGGAAGATTAAAATCACCACACAAACAGATCCTATCACAGTTGATCTTGCTTAAAACTTCCTCAACTGATTGACTGTAGGCTTCATAGATCTCTGCTGAAGATTGAGAAGGTATATAAACGTTACTTAACAAAATTTTTGTTCCCTTGATAGACAGTATTACAAATAATTGTTCCAGATAATTAATAGAAGTATGTACTTGCACTGCTGAAATAGCTTTATCCACTGCAATAAGAACTCCTCCTCCTCGTTTAAAAGTGCTAGTTTCAGCCGACCTATCACATCTGAACACAAAATAATCATTAAATCCCAATTCATCATTCAAAATATCGCCAAAGAGCCAGGTCTCTGAGAGCATAACCACACCATATTCATCCAACAGCAATGCTCGGGAAAGTTCCTTGAGCTTTGTCCTTATCCCCCGCGCGTTCTGGTAATAACATGTTAGTAACCGTATCGGTCGATCCCTGGTTCCAACGCAGCTTCAATAGTTTTCAAATTGTGAAGCTTTAAAGTGTTATTCTTGTGATATTCTTTGAACATCTCACACTTCTTATGGATTTCAGTCACCGACAGATTTTGTTGGAAGTTTAGTATATTATTTTGGAAGTAGAAATAAGCATTTTCTTTCATTGCACCGACCTCGCAGCGATACAGGGTGATACTAAAAAATTAGGTCAAAGATTTTCAATTTTTATTACTGTGAAATATTGTAATTTAACTTTGGTAGATAAAATGAGGCAATTTTTTTCATATTCCATAAAATGGATATTATTTTAATTTTTAGCATGTACAGGGTGTCCCATTTTGGTTGTACAGGGTTTGTTCTCGTGGTGTCGACTAGTAAGGATTATTGGTGTCTATTTTTTTTCCTTTTGAATTATTTATAATAATAAGTACTATTATTTTAAAAAAGTGATTATTGCCTATGCTTTGTGCCAGGTATTTGTGAGGCCTATGCCTTGTGTCAGGTTGTATACCTATACTGTGTTCCCAGTATTTAACCACCTATGCTTCGTGTCAGGCTGGAATATATGCTTAGTAACATTTTGGAACAGTTAGTTATGGGACCTACGCTTGGTGACAGGTCAACTATGATTAGGCTGAGTGGCAGATAATTGTGAATCTGCGCTTAACCTGTATGTATGATTTTGGAATGCACGGTTTAAATGGCGGGTGGCTCGTTAAAGACATATTGATGAGCAGTATCATCATATTATATTTGTGTGACTTAACAAGTTCATGCTGGACACAATTGGTGCGCCGAGAAACTACAGGTAAAAACTGTCATCGCCCTTCTTGTTTTTCAGATACAAATTGTTTTTGAAAATGTTGCATTTTGGGACACCCCTTGTATCTCATGGCGTTTCCGATTCTGAGTGTATTTGCATCCTTTTAATCGGGCTGTAGAAGAAAAAGAAAGAAATAGAAAAAATTGCACTAGTTCCGCACTAGATTTACCAATCGGTAACGCCATCAGTTCTCTCATAACTGATTGAAAAGGTAATAACGGGTTTTTATAGATCTTCTCACGTAGATTCCAGTGGCGGAGTTAGTTTGGGAGGTGATAGTTTTTAAATTATGAGCCAAATATATGTTTTTTCACATAAGACACCCCCTACCTCATTGGATAGTTCTGCTTTTGCTGATTTCAATGATATAAAGTTTGATAGGTACCTACCTATATAGGTATATTTTCAACAGCTTTCGAGAATCTGTTTTTGTCATAGGAAACAATGTGTTACAAAGAGACCTTTCTCATTTTCCTTACAGATATAAAATCCTCTTCTAATACATTGTTTCTTATGACAAATTGACAAAAACAGACATAATAGAGATCTATCTACCTACCTATCGCACTTGATATCATTGGAATTACCAGGAGCAGATCTATCCAATGAATTATTATTATACAGCGTGTCTCATTTGGTGGAAAAAAAGCGTATGCTTCGTTCATAATTATTCAAAAACTATCACTTCTAGAGAAAAGCTGTCTTCACCTGGAATCTGCGTAGAAAGATCTTCAAGAACCCGTTGTCACCTTTTCGATTAGTTATGAGAAAACCGAGATACAAGGGGTGTCCTGAAATTCAACAAGATGGGACACCCTGTACAAGGTGGTGATATTCTCAGTGTTCTGATATTTTGCCAGAATTTCTAAAACAGAATACCCTATATTTTAATAACTCATTGGATAGCTCTGCTTTTGCTGATTTCAATTATGTAAAGTTCCATAGGTTGATCGCCAATAGTCTTCGAGAAAAAAACATCCGTTTTTGGGATAAGAAACAGTGTGTTGGAAAGACACCTTTCTCATTTTCCTTACAGACTCCTTTTCTAACACAATGGTTCTTATAACAAACACAGATTTTAATTCCATTCTCAAAAACCGTTAAACATCAAACTTTATAATATTGAAATCAGCTATCCACTGATTTATTAAAATATAGGGTGTTCTATTTTAAAATATCGGACTCTGGTCAACATCTCAAAATCCTAGCAAAATACCAAAAAAACTGAGGATGTCACTGGATTTTGCTTAAAAAAAAAGTCATTGAGAAAGTTTTTACGGAAATCATAAATCAAAAAGTTATGAAGCTTTTCCTATGAAAAGTGTCCAAATTGGACTACCCTGTACAGGGTGCTGCAATTTGGAGTGTTTCAATAGGAAAAACACACTTCCAGACCAGATAGAGGAAAATTGACTTAAACGTCATGGGATCGATTTTTGTGAAACGTCAATTGTCAAAAACCGTATCACGATATCTTCAATGGTACCATTGATACAGGGTGATTTTCGATTTTTCCCTATTATAAAAAATGGCTATAAGTTTTTCTGTAAAAACATTATGGAGACACTTTTTTGAGCACAATCCAGTGGCGGACTCAGTTTTTTTCTATATCGTTCCAATTTCGAGATACCGACCAAATTCCGATATTTTCAAATGAAACACCCTAAATATTAATAGCTCATTGGATAGCTCTGTTTTTGCTGATTTCAATGATATAAGTTCGATAGGTCTATCTCTAACAGTTTTCGAGAAAAAAAATTATATCTGTTTTTGTCGTAAGGACCAATGTGTTAGAAAAGGATTTTATATGTGTAAGGAACAAGAGGAAGGTCTCTTTCTAACACATTGTTTCTTATGACTGAAACATATAATTTTTTTTTCTCGAAAACTGTTAGAGATAAACCTATCGAAGTTTATATCATTGAAATCAGTAAAAACAGAGCTATCCAATGAGCTATTAATATATAGGGTGTTTCATTTGAAAATATCGGAGTTTGGTCGATATTTCGAAATCGGAACAATATAGAAAAAAACTGAGTCCGCCACTGGATTGTGCTCAGAAAAGTGGCCCCATAATGTTTTTACAGCAATAAAAAAAATTGACAAATAAAAAACTTATAGCCATTTTTCATAATAGGGGAAAATCGAAAATGGTACTATTAATGTATTAATGGTACCATTGAAGATATCGCGATGCAGTTTTTGACATTCGACGTTTCTCGAAAATCAATCCCATGACATCTAAGTCAATTTTCGTCTATCTGGTCTGGAAGTGTGTTTTTCCTGTTAAAACACTCCAAATTGCACCACCCTGTACATGCTAGAAATTAAAATAAAATATCACTTTTAGGGATATGTATTGTTTTTATTCAAAAAAATGCCTGATTCTAATAAGCAGAGTTAAATTACATATTTGAAAAAAAACTTTGACCTAATTTTTTAGTATCATCCTGTATCGCTACAAGGTTGGTGCAATGAAAGAAAATGCTTATTTCGACTTCCAAAATAATATACTAAAATTTCAACAAAATCTGTCGGTGACCGAAATCCATAAGAAGTGTGAGATGTCCTTTCCATGCTTTTTGAATCAACCTTTTTCAGATACCAATAATCCATGCCAAAAAACTCGAAGAGATGCTATACCTCTTTCAATTTCCCTTCAAAAGAAAAAATTGCACCGACGAAGAAGTAATTAAAAAGTGCAAATTTAAACCAGAAAATCAGGAAGTCATGTTGGAAATGGCTATCAACACAGAGTCACCAAATTTTGATTCAGGTATTTAATTATCCAACTAAAAAATAACCAACTATTGAATTGAATTTTATAGGTAGAGCAGAACTAATAGCCCACGAAATCGATGGCGACATTAATTCAAAAACAAGAAAAGATAAAAATATTTATTTCGAAAATGAAATTGTCGACAAAGTATTTCTTAAGTCTAGTCAATGTGTTAAAGATGGCGATAATTATGCTGTAGCGGCGTTCAATGGCAAGGAAATACATTTGACTTCAATTAAAGGTAAATATCTATATATACCTACCTAGAATTTCAACAAAACTTATAAATTTCCAGAAATCTATCAATTTAGACCACATTTTCCCTATTTGGATAAAGGATTGCAAAAGAAAAAAGACATATTGAATAATGCTGATTCAGATGACGAAAAAGCTGGCCCTAGTAAAGCAGAACATGTTACAGTGAAATTTAAACAATCACAAGATTCTGATAAGAAGCAGCTACAAGAAATGTCATATCAAGCCTTACAAGCTAAAAAAGACCAAGAACCTTGGATTGAATGCACTTGGCATGATGAAAATAGTACTTTTAGCAATGTATTTTAGTATAATGTGTAATTTTTTTTATATTACATATTATTATTTTAGGTTGAAAGATTAAAGCTTATATCAGACAACCTATTCGAGACTGGACAAGCTCAAAGTCTAAGCAAACAAGAATATCTAAAACTACTAATCCCTGCAGATAAAGAACAAACTCCTTTAGAGCCAACTTTACCAAGTCACGTATTATCTTTACACGCTTTGAGGGGTTTACCATTGCAAGAACAATGCAAGCTTTTGCTCAAAGAAGCTCAAATCATTCAATTCCAGCAATTATTGCTGCTATTAGCAGGAGTTGAAGGCGTTTCAGCCGAATCTGTAATTAAAAACCTTCAAAAAGTTGCCGTTTTGGTTAGAGGCAATTGGGTTGTAAAATCTGAAGTTTTATATCCTGATAATACGTTTTCTGCCATTAGTGGAGTACCTGCAGAGTTAATGTGTAGAGCTAGAGATTATATTGTAAGATTATGATTTTTGATAATATGTCTTTGTTTTTATAAGTATTTTTTTTTAGTTATATTTATTCACAAAACATCAATATGTAGAAAGAACAAAAGTTTCTTCATTATTAAAAATTCCTACTGAAGAAGTTAAGGAAATTTTCTCAGGTGTATCTAAACTGCAAACGCACAACAAGGTATTTTATTAAATCACAAACTTTTAAATTATTATCTAATAAATTATATTATTTTATAGGGTTGGGAATTATCATTGCCAACCGACCAAGACTTTATTACTAAACATGCTGAATTGGTGCAAAGACAAAATCTCTTTTGGGAGCACCGTTATCATCAATTGAGCCTGTTTCTGAACCAACCTAGTAGGCCGAGACATAAAAGTAAGAGTGCCTCAGAAAGTGATGGAGGAGGAGGGAAAACTAGAAATAGTAGCATTAGTTGGTAAGAATTTAAGTTAAAATGTAACAAAGTACTTCATAATATAAGTTTGTAGTTCAGATAATGAGTCTGGTACAGAAGGCAAAGGCAAATCACCAATAGTTGCCCGGAAATTGGTAAAGCAAGATCAACTGGCCAATGGGGCACTTCCTGAAAGTTTGACAGCTACGTGAAACTATATTTTTGTTTATTTATTGACTATTTATTTAAATGTTGTTGCAGTCTTGAATACCTCGGAATTGTTAAAAAAAAAAAAAAATGTTATTTGTTATATTTTTGTTATAATTGATTGAGCGATATTTCTTATATTGTTTTTGAAATAATGTAATTATTGGATAAATTATTTTCCTAATGAAATTTGAATATTTTTTTGATACATATTTCACAATATTATAATGGTAATCTCCGTTTTGAGAATTCTGAAAACTCCTTGTCTGATTGGTGATTGCACTATTGTGCATTTAAAACTTGAAAGATTGCACAACATTTGAAAATCAGATGGGAGAAATAGCTATAAATGTCCTAGAGTAATTTGTTTCGTTTGTAAAGTTGCCGCTATATAAAGGGAGCTTGCGGGTAGTTTGAATTTATTTTTGTTTCTGGACGTTAGTTTGAATAGTTTTTGTTTAAAAGACTGGTAAGTTTGCGTTTTTAAAATTTTGTAAGCTCTTCACTAGATCTTCTGAAAATATCTATGATTGGATTTTTTTGAAGCCATTTATTGGAAATTATACAGGATAATGTATATGTAGGATAATAAGTTAAAAAATCCATTCCCTTTATTCACAGTAGACAATCATCATGAGAAACAAACATATGAATCCAGATTTGGTAAAGCTGGCTGAAAAGTATAACGTCAACAAGATGATTTGTCGCAAATGCTATGCAAGGTTTGTATTTTCTGCTTTAAAATCGATTTTTTTTAAAAATTTAAACATGTTTCCAGGCTTCCTCCGAAAGCCACAAATTGCCGCAAAAAAAAATGCGGTCACAGTAATGATCTGAGACCGAAGAAACCCTTGCCCTTAGATAAATCCTAGAGGAAAAATGCTTATGACTGATTCTGGATAATCGTATAAAACAGCGTGTGAAGATGGAGTTTATTGAAAATTCAAAGAATCAAGATTTTCAGAGAGAATAATTGTTTGATAATAATTATTCTAGTAATACATCTTTCTCATAATCTCTGATACAATTATTAATTATATTCAAGTGTCTGTTTGGATCATCTAGATAATTAGTTGTACTTGTTTTTCTTTATCTGGGGTTAATTTTTGTTCAAATAAATAAAATTTCAAAAAAGATTCACCAACTAATTTAACCCATTAGAAGGTTTTTCAAATTTCCATGAGGTTAGCAAGAAGTACTTTTGCATCTTCTTAATAATAACTGATCAATTTTGAAATATCTAAATTAGTTATAATGCCGTATTCTATTCATGTTTTATTAAAGAAGTACCTACCTACTGACCATTTTTGAATAAAGTTGAAAAAGTTCATTTTTGTGCTAAAGTGAAGATAAAGAAACTTAAAATTTTCATAATTAGTTTTCCCAAAAGTGAAATTTGAACAAGAAAATTATGGAAATTCTATTTCATGCTCTTTCAAATTTGGAATCTTTACCGAAAAGTAAACTTCAACTTTTCTTACATAAATTTGTTCTTGTAGAGATGTTTGATTTTTTATTGGAGAAACTCAATAACCATAGAAATCCTTTGTCTAAATTAAATTTGAACCAGTAGAGAAGCGGTAATTTATGAACCTTGTAGAATTTGAATTGAGATAGAGTGGCTGTAAACAGGGTAGATACCATGCAGTTTCAAATTAGTAGAGCCAGAATTCATTTGGAGAAGCTAAAAAAAAGCTTAGAATCAGGTCTTCTAGACTCCTAAAATTGAAGTTAAGTTAGATGATTTACTAAGTATTTTAAATAAATATAAAACTCTGGTTTCTATCCATTTTAAAGTTGAAGTTCTTACCAAAAAGCTAATTGTTGAATCAGTTTTTGGTAAGGCCTAAATTCAACTTGAGAAGCTCAAAAATCTTTCAACTAGCTCTCTTAGAAATTAGAGCTTAAAAACCCGTTTCTGGCTCTACAAGAGTCAAAATTGACCCAAACAACTGTAAAACTCTAATTTATCTTTATTCTAGAGCTGAAGGCAAACTAAAGAAGTTGAACAGGTTCATAGATTTGAAATTCGATTAGAAAAGTTTAAAAATCTTATTCCTGGCTGTACTGGAATCAAAATTGAATAAGAGACTTCTACAAGTTGATTTTTGAAAAATCCTATTCCCGGGTCTAGTACAGCCAAGATTAAACTAAAATGAGCATAAAACTTTTAATTTCTGACTAACCTAGAGTTCAGATATGGGCACCAAAATGCATAATACATTTTATATTACGCATGCATCATAATCAACGATTTATCGCACGCTGCGGCGTGCTTTGCGGGCGTTATGATCTATAACGCCCGCCTATAATACCTTAAGGTGTTTTTGTTGTTGTTGTTCTATTAATTTGCACTTTACCCTAGGCAGCCACTAAATGTCTGACCGAAAATAATTTTCGGTCTAGCCAGGATTCGAACCCGGTCTACCATCAATGTTTCCCATGTAGTCCAGCGCGTTAACCCACAGGACCACCACCGTTGCCTTGCATTATGAGATGTTTATAGATATATTAATTTATTTCGTTTCTATGTACAGGTCGCAGGTACAGGTACAGGTCACAGGTACAGGTACATGTCAAAATACAAAACAATATTCTGTCACACAAGTTTAACTGATTTTGTTAATAACAAATTGATGAAAAAACATTGTGTTGAGTAGAAAATAAAGCATTGTATGCACCACGGGGATTTCAAGATTATAATGCCCTTCAGGCGAAATATATCCCTCGGGCTAGTTTCGCCTTCGGGCATTATAATCTACATAATCCCCTTGGTACATAAATAGCTATTATGATGCGCCTACCTTTTCAAAGGTTTGCTATAGAAACGTTTGATCTACCTTCATTACCTAGATATTCACCTGCTGTTTAAATTACTATTCATCAAAATGAATGAACACATTTAAAACATTTTTGAGATTATGATGCATTTGTAATATAAAATAGCGTATGATATGCGTGTATAAGAGGCCTTTAAAGCTCTTGCGACTTACAAAACACTCCGCTGCGCGTCGTGTTTTGAAATAATATGTCGCGCGTGCTTTAAATGCCCTCTTATACACTTATATCAGAATATACTATTTAAAATTATGTATTCGCATTGAAAAGAATGACTTTTGCTTTCGAAAAAAGATTCAATATTACTCAACACACAATATTACTTATAATTATAATGGAAATTTTTAACTGTAACAAATCAATATAGTCCCAAACCTTTTTGATAAAAATAGGTCATCACAAGTGATAACCCACAATTACCAAAAAAAAAATAAAATAAATTGAAGCAATATAGCTTTATATTTGACTAAAAATAATAATATGTCTAGCAAGAAAAGCAACAGAGACAAATTTTACATTATAAATAATTAAATTACAAAATATTACTTATTTAAATTAGTGACTTTCTTGTGTCTTTAAAAATTCAGTGTATTTAGTTTCGGTCATAAGTTCCTTGAGTTCAGATTCGTTTGCTAATTCCAACTTGAATAGCCAGCCTGTAAAAACAACAATTCTTATCTTTCTTCGCTGGGGGTCAAAATGTTTTGATATCGAATACCTTTATCGTAGCATGATGTGTTTATCAAAGACGGCGTTTCCTCGACAGCTTCGTTTTTCTCGATAACTTTCCCACTAACAGGACTGTAAATTTCGCTGGCTGCTTTTACGCTTTCCAAGGCTCCGCATTCCTCTGCAAAAAGACTAATAATTTTAAGAATAATTATAATTTTATTATGTGAGGCTTTTTTCACCTTTCTGTTTAATTTCGGTGTTTACGTCTGGCAGTTGGGCATAGACCACGTCGCCTAGGGCTTCTTGGGCATAATCTGAAATTCCTATTGTGCCTATTTTGCCATCGAGTTTGACCCATTCGTGTTTTTCTGTAAAAAGCCTCTCTGCAAGGGATTTGAGTCAATATTTAAAATAAAGTCCACAAATTGTACATTACCTGCATAAACTTTTAAAGATGTATGTATGAATCTAGGACTAGAAAAGTTTTGTAGAAATCTCCTGCACAATACACGTGGTACCACAGCCATTTTATGTGTGTGTATGTATATGTAACAAGACTGTGTCTATCAGCAAGAGAATTTCGGACAAGACTGATAAAAGCAAAGCAAATTAAGCAACTAGAATTTTTTTTTTATCGTCTTGTGTAACGAAATATTAAACGAGGACAACGCAGTACGTCTAAGGCAAATGATTTTTTGAAGCTTATTTTCGAAATTAATTACATAAATTTGTTGCAAAAGATGATTGGAGATTATATAAATTAATTATTTAGAAAATTTAATTAATTATTTAAACAAACAACTATGGCACAAACAGTCGGCCAAAAGAGAGGTTAGGTTAGAGATCAGATGTCAGAGATTGGAGTAGATGTGGAGTAGATTATTTAAGGGACCCACGAGCGTCGAGCACAGAACTGTATCTGCGATCCAGAATCGACAGAATTTGAACTGTTCATGGGAATACCCCACTTTTTTTGCTTGTTTTCTAACTTTTATTTATTCTGAAGATTCCTGAGCTTCATTAATTTTCCCTTGGTGTTTTTTATGGAGGAATTATTTGGAAGTTGCTTTTTTTGGCAGACATAAATGGAAAGTAAACTAGTTTTGACATAGCATAGCGTTACGGTAAGGCATCCGGTAAGTTCCGTTAAATAGCGGCCTCCGCTAACGCTAATACCGTAAGAACTGTCATACTTGTCAAATAGCGTTACGGTATTTGAAATACGGCACGAGAACTCCCTGTTATCAAACGCGCCGCGCCGCTATCTTTTACGTCAAACATCAAATCGCCCTATCCTTGCGTTCGGTATTTTACTCAAAGAGAGGGGTGCGTTTACAGTTATCGCCGTGCGATCGCCCGACGACGCCCGGCTTCGTCAAGACTGTTCATAGTTCTAGCCGGGTGAAATTTGTCCGCGTTCACAGTTCAAGTGAAAATTCATATGGCGAACAAATTTTTTCACCCACTAAATAGTTGGTGAAGATTTGTCGCGGCTGCGCAATGTGTGTAAACTTTCAAAAGGTTCAAATGTCCAACAACAAAACAACATAAACTAACAAATAGCTATTATTGACTTGGTCTAAACAGTTTAAACTGTTTTGTAAAGTAAATATTTCAAAAAATGGAAAATATCTCGACCCACTCCCAATATACTTTGTCGTGGATGCGGATAACCAAACCAGTCCCGTTTTATCTGATAATGGAAAAATTGTATTGCTATTGCTCAACGATTCATTAATTGTCATTCAAGAAAAAAAGCAATAGGTACCCGGATCCATTTTTTTTTTTTACATAAAAACAATTTTAAGTTATTAACTTATTATGGAGAACGAGGAACTACTTTCAGAAAGATAGGTTTGGAAGAGGTTAAAGACAAACATGAAGGCGGGGCTTGCTTTTAATGGGTTGATAACTGTGAACGACGATCAATTAGCGTGCGTCGACCATTAAACTAAAGTGTGTTTTTTTTTAAAGATAAAAGTCAAAATGACATTATGTTGGCAATACAATGTAAAATTGTCAATGCTTTCAAATTTTTTATGTAGAAAAGGCTTGTGTTGCCAACATAGTCACTACATTTTTGACTTGGGGAATTATCTTTAAAAAAAAAACAGACTTTAACTGAGGTGAAACGTAAAATTTTGTGTTGATAACTGTGAACGCACCCCACAGAGCGTGTTGAGCGGAACTGTAATCACGTGACCAGCGAGCGAACAGAGCAGGGGCGAGTTCAGAAATAACACACCGGGTGTGAGTTCGATTTTATGGGTGTGACTGAAATGACAATTCTTAAGCCTAGTACTCATAACTGCGAAATTCGCATTTTTTTGACATTGCTTCGACAATTTGACGTTTGATACACGCATAAAACGTCAGATTGTCAACGCAATGTCAAAAAAATGCGAATTTCGCAGTTATGAGTACTAGGCTTTAGGCGACAACTTTCGTATGAATTTCTGAACGCTTGGTGTGACCAATCGAACATCTCCTCAAAAATTTCACAAAATCTATTAGGATTACTTTTTTTGTTGTTCATTTTTTTAATTTGAAGGAAAAACTTTAATTCTTATTTGTGTTTTGTTTATATTTGGTGAGATTATTGAGATTATGGGAGGAATGGTTGACATTGTTGACATAAAGACACACCAAAAAATTATGGTGTGACCGGTGCGACACCTGGAGAGCGCCCAAAGTACTTTCTGAACGGCACAGAGTGCGCGCACTCGGTGTGCCTATAGCATTTATGAACGGCTAGTGCGTCGCACCGGTGTCTCACTCACACTGAGTGTGTCATTCCTGAACTCGCCCCAGTTGAACAAATTGTGGTTGAACGCTGTATCAGAGTGCCAGAAATTTTAATAAATAAATGCGAATGAGTCTGCACTTTTGAATTAGGCAATTCAAACCACGTGACATTCAAGATGGCGTGGCGGCCACACATGGACCAAAAAAACATCTAATTTCTGCCCGACTCAATAGTTCACGTACCTAGTAAACATATATTATATTGAATAATCAAAATCAGAGCTGCAAGCACAACTCGAAGCAAAATAATTGAAATATGCATGAAAATATGTGTTCGAAACAAACTTCCTGGCCGCCACGCCATATTGAATTTTTCGTTTTGACATATGGATTGAATTGCCTATATAAAACTACAGGAAGGAGTGTTTTCTATCTGTCACTACCACTGATTGTCACTACAGACAACAAAGAGACGGAAACGGGAAACGGCCATATTGCCAGTGCCGGCCCTACCTGATTTACCGCCGGGTGCAATTTAAATCTTACCGCCTCAAGGCTCCTAGTTTTCAAAAATTTAAAGTTGAACATATACATCATCAGCAACGTTTTTCTATTCAAACATATTTTTTGCACAAATTATTATTAAAAGTTATTAATAGTTATTTATCCCATTTTGACGTTTAAAAATGACATTATTGAACGCATAACAATAAAGGTAAGTAGACGTTTATCACCTCAGTGATTTAAAATCATTTTAACTCACCCTCGGCATTTTAAGTCACTCTGCCCAACTAAAAATCTGAAATCTCAGTGATTTAAAATATTTTTAACTCACTCCCGGCATTTTTCCTGGTACTTAATTTTTTAAATTTCCACAAAATGGGATAAAATTTTGTATACATCACGTGAGTTAAAATGTTTATTCATTCGAAGAAAATTAACCCACTCGCTAGGGCTCGTGGGTTAAACGTACTTTCTTCTCATGAATAAAAATTCATTTAACTCACTTGGTGTATAATAGTAATTTATACACCAAGTTGCATTTAACTCACTTGGTGTATAAATTACTATTATACACCCAAGTGAGTTAAATGAATTTTTATTCATGAGAAGAAAGTTTAACCCACGAGCCCTAGCGAGTGGGTTAATTTTCTTCGAATGAATAAACATTTTAACTCACGTGATGTATACAAAATTTTATCCTATTTTGATGGACATTTAAAAAATGTTAGGTGTGCGTTATCCTTTGATATCGTTAATATTACATAAAAAACAGTCGTTTGGAATTAAAACTACACGTACAGTTTGTGAGCATCAAAAGTGGGACACCCGATTTTTTCTACTGTAAAACGAGCTCACAGCTATACCTACGGCAATAACAGGGATTGTCATATTTGACAAAAAATCCATTATAGAGAAACAATGTAGAGAAAAGAAATTTACCCAAAATAGCGAAAAATGACAAGACATGTCAGTCGGGTGCCCCACTTTTAATGCTCACGATCACTGTACATGTACCCCAGGGAGAATACACACTCTAAGACCCAGTTTCACAATCGGTGGTAACCAGTGCTGGTCAGTCAACTAGGGGTCAGGGGTTAACTGGGACTCCGCTCATTAACCTGTTTCACACTAAACAAACAATCGGTTAAATGACTAGTGGTTGAATTTTATTTCTCAAAGGTTGGTACTTGATTTTTTTGAAATTTTTTTAAAAATCACCTTGAAAAATAAAAAAAGGCCGCTTTAAGCCTAGTACTCATAACTGCGAAATTCGCATTTTTTTGACATTGCGTTGAGAATTTGACGTTTTATGCGTGTATCAAACGTCAAATTGTCAACGCAATGTCAAAAAAATGCGAATTTCGCAGTTATGAGTACTAGGCTTTATACTTCACTATAACGTCACTTTTTGTGATTTGTCATTAATAATTATATTAATTTTTGTCAGTGGCAGTAAAATTTCACAGATACCTATTTAATATTGGGTTTTGTGTCGTGTTTCCTGTTTGAATTTAAATCATGAAGTCAAGTGAGAAAAAGGTCTGCGAATTTTTCAAAGGAAGAAGAATATTTATAAGTGTTTCTCATGTAAAAATATAAGTTCATTATGGAGTGTAAAAAAAACGGCGCATCAACGTGGAAAAAAAAAGAAAATGCTTGGAGAAGGGAGGAAGCAGATTTTAATTCCAATTGTATCACTCACGGAAAAAGAAATGCAAAAGTTTTCATTCAGTAATTTTACCTTTTCAAACTTTAACTCATAGTTAACTCATACGCTGTTTTCGCTTTAACTAGTAGTTATCTCATAACTAGTAGTTAACTACACTTTGTGAAACTGGGCCTAAGCAGTGCTTATCGGCCTCGTTTTTGGTAATCGCCGCTATATTGGTGTGATACCATTTCCAACGTCATAACTAAGTCGTCAGCATAGAATAAGGTTTATAGTGGGTATAGAATGGACAGTTCCGTTATACGGGTCGGACAACCATTTGTGGCGCCATCTGTTTTCTATGAATTGAGCTCATCCCATTGTAGCAGCTTGTAGAGCAGTTTGCTTCTTATTTTTTTTAGATTTGCTTTTTATTTATTTTATAATAAAGACACAATTTGATGCAAATTTAACAAATAACGGTTTATTACAAAGAGAGAAGAAAAATATGTTGGCTTTTCGAAACTTGTCAACAAAACCCGCTTTCCAGCTGCCCATTTTGAGCACGCAATCGAGCTTTTGCGCGCGCAAATACTTCAAGCGCGTGTTTGTGTTCCAGCCGTACTGCGCTCCGAGATCTGCTAACTTTTGCGTTTCAAACACAGAACACTGTGCTGCACTGTGCTTGAAGCACACAGCTGGAAAGCGGCTAATGTCAACACTTAACAACACAGAATTAGATAACAATAATAGTCTTTACACTAAACATAACACTGTGAAAGTCCACAAATACACACAGATAACGCTCTATCACTACGAAACACTTTTTCAACGAACAGAAATATTAAAGCAACAATAAGAAGCACAACGTTTTCCAGTTCATCGTTTTGTCATCATTTGTCATTTCATAAATTTATGTCGGTTCATGTCATAATTTAATTGACCTTTTGTTTGGACGCCATATTGCGGTGCGCGAACATAGTTGCCAAAAGTAGAAAAAAAAAATTACTAGGTTACTGTCAACATTAAAAACAAAAGTTACTGAATAAATTACATTTAAAATTTAAATTTGCCGCTTATTACGAATGTTTTTGAAAAGAAAAGCCATCAATTTTAGCTTTTATTGAGCAGAATAGAAATAATAGAATAGCTGCTTTCGGGTGCCACCTTTTGAGCGCTCCTGAGTTACTCCGAAGTACTCCAGCTACAGTTTCACCCGTTCGGTATCAAGCGTTCGAGTGCAAAACGCATGGAGTATGACAGGTCACTGACAAATGTGAAGTGTTCTTGGAGCTTCGCACTCTGCACCCGAAAGCGGCTAATATCTACCTATTTACTTTCATCAATCAGAGAGAGAAAGTAAACAAACAAAAAGGATAGCGAGGATCAATCATTTAGTTACTTTTGTTGTTCATGTTGACAGCCAGCTAGTAATTTTTGTTTTTTTCTTTTGGCAACTATGTTCGCGCACCGCAATATGGCGTCCAAACAAAAGGTCAATTGACCTTTTGTTTGGACGCCATATTGCGGTGCGCGAACATAGTTGCCAAAAGAAGAAAACAAAAATTACTAGCGGGCTGTCAACATTAAAAACAAAAGTTACTAAATGATTGATCCTTGCTATCCTTTTTGTTTGTTTACTTTCTCTCTCTGATTGTATAAAAAACAAACTAAACCTATTTTTTGAATTCATTTTCATTTATCATTCTAAAATTTTCAAAAATATTCGTAATAGGCGGCAAATTCAAATTTTAAATGTAATTTATTCAGTAACTGTTTTATTGTTGACAGTACGCTAGTCATTTTATTTTTTTTCTACTTTTGGCAACTATGTTCGCGCACCGCAATATGGCGTCTAAACAAAAGGTCAATTAGTAATCACGTCACCCTTCTTCTGAAGCGGAGATACCGGAGATACAATCAACAACGCGTACGCAAATCAATTGATAGCGCCTCTAACGGGCATGAAACAAGTTTTTCATCGAACCAAGTGGTACATTTGAAGATCGCGGGGTATGGTCGTCAGCTGTTTAAACAGCCTACGTCAAGGCTACAAATAACATGCTGCCTACGTCACAACTGGTATTTTTGCTTGGGGGCAGGGAGGGATTTATTACACACAGGCCTTATGAGGATAGGCCATCCTGTAGTAGTAGTGTGTATCATCCTTGCCCACTATTCATCACCGTTCTTAGGGACGTCAGAATGACAACTTCACGAAGAGCTTGCGCGACAATGGCTACGTTCACCAGAACCAAAACGGATTGTGAACTGTTTACAAATACCAACAGAATACGTTGGGTAAACTCTTGGTTCTGCTGAACGATTCAACTTTTCAATGATAGAACGTCACCCTCTGAATGACAGGTCATGCTTGCAAAAATGGCGACCGTTTGCAAAACATGTTTGGTTTCAACATAAATTCAACGTAGCGTTCAGCAGAACAATCGCAAACCGTTTACCAACGTTTGTATCTGGTGAACGCGGCCAATATCCCATCGCCCAGGTTGAAGATATGGACAAAATTGCCCAACTTGGTGTGTTATGAAGCCGCTCAGGAAGTTTGGCTTGTACATGCGTTACAAAATTTTAAGGTCGATGTAGGTACTGGGGACAATCATAGGATAGGAACGGCATTTTCCTACTAATAAAACTCCTACCTGCTCCTACCTGGACAAAACTAATATGATGGTTTTTCAGCGACAAAATGCAAGCTTTGACTCTTTGACATCCTGTATCTCGAAACCTAAGCATTTGCGGACTGTTCCCATTAACGCTTTTCCTATTTCAATGAATACTATTCATCCTAGAAGCTTGATCCCACTATTCATTAACACCCTGTATAGTCGAAATTGCACTCGTGATTTACCTAGAAAAACATCGAATCGAATATAACAGAATTCCAGGAAAAGGCGCACTGCCCGACGTAAACAAGTGACTAATTTAATTTCTTGGAATCCCGGCGCTGCGATATCAATGCATCTTTTTAACAATACCTAATATTTTAGTTTTTTGATAAAAATGGAAGCGAACAGAGCAGAGAACCGAATTTTCGCGACGAATGTAGTTCACCAATAGTTCAATTGTGACGTCATGAGTTTAACCGCTAGCTTGAAATTGCGTCCATGCTTCCGGCGAACTACGTTTAATATGACGTCATGAGTTTCTCGCGGAAGCGTTTGAGCTCATGAAATCATGGAAGTAGTTCATCGCGAAAATTCGGTTCAGGGTTACCGGTGCAATGTTAGCGATTTTGTTAATTATATTACCGGGCTGGTAAATAATTATAAAATTTTTCATAAATATTATTCTGAATAACCCTTCGATTTGTTTTCATGATTTCTATTTTGATTAATTTTTTCAATTTACCACCTCTTAAATTTTGCCGCCGGGTGCACTTAGCACCTCGGCACAAGTATGACTCATCATTTGTTCTGGTGGTTGGTTCGCTTTGTCCTCATTCTAGTGGATGTTTAATGGATTTTAGAGGTTTTAAGTGATAATAAGTACTGGGACTAGTGCGAAAAGAGTGAGTCATAATATTGACAATCATATTTAATAGTTATTTATATTACTAGTGCGGTATGAGCTTCATTACAGTAACGGAGTGGGGAATATTGCCAAGACGAGGTCGTAGACCGAGTCGTGGTAATCACACGAGTGGTGTAATGAGCGTTACCGTACGTGTAATATACAACATTTTATGTACGACCCAGATTTTTTTCACATATTCGAAATGGTTTTAAGTTTTCACAAAAGATTATATTTATAATTTTTGATAAATGAATTTTAAAAAGTGCCGTTTTTCAATAAAAATGAATAATGAGCTCATTACATCACTAAGCACAATAATGCAACTTATTACGTAATTCAAACAGGCTAAAATGAGTTACGTAATAAGCTCTTACAGTATAGGTCGTACATAAATAAATATACGCCACTGCCAAACCGGAAACACTAGTCGGCCATATGCAACCTCCACATATTCTGGGTCGCGCAGATTCGAGGTTATGCTCCTTCCTGTTGTTTTATATTCAAAGGTCTGCACCGAGAAGGTACACTTTTTAAATAAACGAACGGTAGATTCAAACTCAGATCAAAATACCGAACACACGGATAGTTCTCCATTATTTGTTGTGCGCCAGCAGTTCTGCGCAATCCCAGAACCGTTCCAAATTTTGAACCCAAACAACGCTATAAATACAAGCAACAGAAATCCAAACAAGAAAAACCCTATAGAATTCCCGCCTTGAATAAGTGACATCTCATCTATCAATCGGAATCAGCTGTTTAATAAATAATTCATTTTTTTTTATTATTTTAATTAATAAATAGAACAGTGTATGTAATAAAATCAACATGAAAACAATTGTCGAAAAAACTGCGAAAGATTATAGCAAATATATCGACAATATAAATTTAAATGAGAAGGTAAATATTTAAAAATAAATATACAGGGTGTCCCCGGAATCAAGAACACCTCATAACAGAAGTACAGTTTGAATCGCAACTCGCAAGCAATCCATCGAGGTCTTCGAGTAACGTCACCACTATCAGCTGCTGATAGTAGTGACGTCACTCGCAGACCAGATGCCGATTCGAGCATTGGCAGACGTTCGCCTTTTAAGTTTGGATGAGCAATCCTGTTAGTTTACGATACTTGGTTCGGAATAACTTGAAGTACATGATGATTTTGGAAATCTATGTTGAGGATACATCAGGGTGGACCATATGAATGATTTTATGAAACGCACTTTTTTCTTTTTTGCCCTGTATATCCGTTATAGGTATTGTTCCGGACACCCTGTACAGGGTGTCCCAAATTCGAGTGCCAACGTGGGGATAACGGTAACTGTTGATAACAGATACGAGGGTGGTTAAATTAGACAAAAATTGCGCATTACGTTATTTCCTTCCTAATTTCATGAAGTAAAAAAGTGGAAAAACTTGAGGAATAAGAAAATCTTTTTATATTACTGAACTATTTCCCTTTTATTTTTTGTTTCAATTTTCTGTTATCCTTGTAAATGCATATAAAAATTGTTTTAATCTATTATCATTTACTGCAATTTACATATTAGTCACTTTATGTGATGTGAATGTAAAATTTATATTAAAATGTATGATCACAGCTAGAACCAGTTAACAAAGCCCTAGACGATATGCTAACCCGCCTAGAAGAGTTCGAAACGATGCTGTCTTTCATACAACCAGACGTTAACGATTCCACAGACATCTTAAAGTCAATATTAAACTACAAACCTGAATTCGAGGAGCTATGCGAGAAAATCGACGCTACAGAGTTTTTGATAGCTCACATCAAAAGCAACCTAGATAATTTGGAAGCTAAAATCGAGGAAGCAGAAGCTAAAATGGGAGTTTCTGATGCTACGGCTAAAGTTACAAATATATTTACGCCTCTTTTTGTAAGGAATTTGTTTGTGGTTAATTGATTTGTGTATGAAAATTTTCTTTGTTTTTAGAAAAAGTCACCAGAGAAACACATCAGTCCAAGTCCTACATTGGAACTATTTAAAACTGAAGAATATTTTAGGCAAGAATAATATACATATTTTATTTTAATTCTTACTTGTTTTATTTTTTTGTGTGGTCTCAATCTATTTGCCATGTTGAGGGTGCATAAATTAACACTAGCATGTCAGACAGCCGTATTAATTGAATTCCAAAGTCTATATAGTTCCATTAAATTGTCATTTGAATGTTGCAAGATGTTTGAAAAAACTATTGAAGCAACGTTGAAACTATCCGGTAGAGATATGTAGATAATTCAATTGTCCATAATTCAAGCCTAATTACATTAGGATCAGATTGAAATTAGAAAAGTTGTGAGCGAAAATGTGTTTCAATGTCATTTTGGAAAAAATCAAAGTTTCAAAAAAGGACATTGAGGGACGTTCTATTTTTCTTTGAGGGAAATTTTGCAGGGATTCCATTGAAATTTTGCGAATGGAGGAAGAAAGGATTGAAATTTATGAAAAAAAATTAAAAATTTCCTTCTGTTCATCTACCTACCTTGATAAAAATCCAAACAAAAACACTTTGAAGCCTCACAACTTGAAAACTATTGAAGCAGCGTCGAAACTACCAAATAAAGATTTGTAGAGGATTCAATTTTCCTTAATTCAAGCCCAAATTACATTAAGATCGGATTGAAATTAAAAAAGTTGTGAGCGAAAATATGTGTCAATGTCATTTTGGAAAAAAACAGAGGTTCAAAAAACGACATTGAGGGACGTTCACGGGACGTTTTGCTTTTCTTTGAGGGAAATTTTGCAGGATTGAATTGAAATTATTTTGCAATAAAGTGAAGAATCTTGAAAAAATGAACAATGAAGGAAAAAATTGAAAAACACAGGAAAGGAAAAAAAATAAAGAAATTAATTCAATATACTTAATATAGTTTGTCAGATTTTTTATTAAGTCTGATTAGGACACAGTTCATTAGGAGTTCAGGGTATTGAAATATCCTGATCAAATTTGTATTGAAACTTAGAAGCAGTATCAAAACACTTTAAACACTAATCAGTTGATTGAACAAAAGCGTTAAAAAAAAAACACACAAGTTAAAAGAATCCCAAGAATTTATTAGTCAGGTTCTGAAACGTGACACTAGAAATACGAAAATCCCAAGTATTTTGTATTCGACCTTCTTCTAAAAAAAGTAAAAAAAACATTAAATTCCTATATACAACGGAAATCAATTAACTTGCAGCTCATTGTAAACCCAAAGAACAGATTGATACTTAAAAAAAAAAACCCAACACTCATCAAAAGTGTTAATAAATTAATAAATCAAACATTCACATATTGGTTTTAAGTACCCACATTGCAAAATCGTTTCAAGTATTTTGGTGGGAGAGAATTTTAACTTGAAGTCTACCAGCGCAGACTTTCTCTTCGCGCGGGTCTTCCAACACACATATCTTCAAACCCAGTCGTTAAAAATTTAAATACCGTGCCTGTGCATTAAATATTTAGTGATAAAAGGATTTTTACTGATGATAAAAATGTGTACTTTTTTTGGTGTTCTTTGTTATTTTTGAATGTGTAAAATTTCAGTGAAGATGAAAATGAATTTTGTAATTTTTGCCGCAATTATTGTTTGGTTTAATGGGTTTAATTGTTGTAGTGGAACAGGTCAGTAATATTTTTAATATACCAAGAGAAATTAAGGTTTTGTTGCATTAATAATCCAAATTCAATACAAGATCCTGGTTCAATATTAGATCCTGGTTGTACCTGGTGACAATTTTATTTCATCAGATTTTTGTATTAAAAATACCAACCAACCCAGTTTGCTCTAGTAAGCCAAGTAGGTAGGTACTTTCTCTAGTTTCAGGGTTTACAAGAAATATTTCAACAATTTTGAATTAGAACCGCGATAATTTTAAATCATCTGCATCAGTTTTTATTTGGTACAAGGTTAGCTTGTATTATTTTAAAATAAATACCTACTCCTCTTATGTAGTACTTAACTGGATCTATTTTATACTCACTTTATGTGTTAAATGAAATGTTTGGTCTTATTTTAAATAATGACTCATTATTTGTATATACAAGGAGTTTAATGCCTGAATTTAAAATTGTATTCCAGAGCTGGTTTGATGAAACTTTTGCTTCGACATTGAGAACAGAGTGATTTTTTAAAAATTTTGTATACATCAAGGGTATTGAAGTTTACATTTTTTTATGTATTGGAAAGAGATTCAAAGACATCTCGTTGAAGACTTCTTCAAAATATCTCAGTCCTAAAGATGACTATATATTATATAGGCAGAGATGTCTGAAAAACTTCAAGATTTCTTTAAAACACCCTAAAGACGTAAGCAAGACATCGTTTGTGGACATCTTAGGGAGGAATTTCCCACAAAATTCGTTTCTCATTCAATTTAGAAGTTACTGGAAACCATTTTGGAATGCTACAGGACATTCAAAAACCGATTTACAATTGTCAAAAGTATTTTAGAACAGTTCAGAGGTTTGAAATCTATTTTAGGACGCTCCAAAAAACACTCAAATATACCTACTCTAGAAAAACAGTTCAAATTCAAATGAGAATTTTCAGAGGAGCATTTTGAAACAATTGAGAAACTTTAGACTTAGGATTCAATTTAGAACTGGAAACCTTTTAGAACTCATTTGAACTAATTTAGAACACTGAAAGCTTCAATGTAGAACTCTAAAATACTTAAAAATATGTCAGAACAATTTGGAAATTACTGAAAAACTTCTAAAAGATGAATTTAAAAATTGGATATTTGGAATTTTTTTCCTACCTACCTATTTGCTACCAAATTGGCTTGAAATTTCGAATTATAGCCTTCATAAAAAATCCAATTTCCTATATTACACCTTTTGTATTATTTCAAAAAAAAAAATGATTGAATAACAAATTACCCACACACAATATCTTGATTTTTGCAAGCATTCATATCAACATCATTCATCAAAATAAAATAGATTGCGACCATGAAAGAAGCCCATTAAAAACCAAAGAGAATTTTTAAGTGATTTCCAAACGAAGACGTAATTCGTGAATTTAATCATTACACCATTATAATTGTAAATTCTATATAGGTACACTCTGTATTACATGCATGCAATTGCAGCTGGTAGTTAAAATTAATCAGTGGCTGCATCCCGTACCAGAGGAGGACATTGACATACATTCCGGATAATGAGCCAATTAATTATTAATAACTAATTTTTATCTTTATAGAATCCGCCAGCTTGGAAAAACAAAGGTACGATGGATGGTTTAATAATTTAGCACACCCGGAATGGGGATCTGTTGGTAAGTTAAATCACGTTGGATGATTGATTGTCGGGACTCATTTTTTATCATATATTAACTATTTATGAAAGTAAAATATAATCTAAGTATTAATAAATTAAATATACAATATGCTGTTTTATTAATTATTAATCTTTATTATAGAGATTTTATCTAGATTATTTGCAAAGATACAGCACGAATTGCATAATTAATAAATTATGTAACACCAATTAACATGATTTTAAAACAAAAGGGACAAATTAATTCTAAAGAATGCAATTTATTACCTCATTGATGCATTTTGCACAATGCAACATCCTATTTAAGTCAGTTGTGCTTTGTGCTTACAACATATCCTATAATAAAAATCTAGATTGAATTCAGGTCGATTTCAAATCCGTCTCAGATGAAGATCGAATCCTGTAACCTTGACGGCTAAAGTAATGATCTAATTAACCCACGAGAGCAATTCCAATTATGTCATTCAGGATGTTTCGTTTTCAGGCAATCATTTGATTCGTCGAGCCCCACCAGCTTACGCCGATGGAGTCTACATGTTGTCGGGTCAAGACAGACCCAGTCCCAGGAAGTTGAGCAGACTTTTTATGAAAGGGATCGACGGGCTGGGATCGGTGCTCAATAGGACGGCACTGTTGGCTTTTTTTGGTCAATTAGTCACATCCGAGGTAAATAATTTACAAGTATTAATGAATGTAAGGTTTGGTGAGCGGACAGGGCCAATAGGCCTTGGCAGTCCAAAGAATTGACTTGGAATAGGTAGTCAAATAGGAGACGAAAAAAATTGAAAGTGAAGAGAAGAAACACAAGAGGACAGGTCATCCTTAGCTCGTCACCCAGCCTCCAGCCTAACGATTTCACTTAGGCGATGATGACGTCCGCCAAGGGCGGTGTCTCTGATCTCTTCTAGCGATGCTAATCCGGCTCTGCGTATTGGCGAAAGAGCAGTGCAGTTACAGATAATGTGCTCTATCATCTCGTCTTCTTGATCACAAGCCCTACACAAGGATGTAATACTGAGATGAAACCTAAACAAAATGTTTGTTTAACTGACAGTGCGACTATTTGTTCGGCCGCGATGGTTATGCCAGTAATTTCCGTTTGGAGACATTAGGCATGGCGCCAAGGGCTATAGCTAGGTTCCGCATCCCGAGCCTGTTTGAGTTTTGGAACCATCAGTGTAGGTAGATGTTACTTACCCCTGCCACTGTGTTGTTTCCAGGGGGCGGCATATTCTAGGTACATTAATATATTTGTATACAGATAAAAAAAAAAAACTAGAGACAAATACCTTTAAACTATATTGCACGAACAGGCGGCCACTTGTTGTGGCGCGTGCTACCTGCCAAGTGGTACGAGCACCCCTGAAAAGTAGTACGAGCGCCCTTGGCCTATCACCTACTAGCGATAAACAACAAACGGACCACCCACGGATAGGGCTCCGCCAAGTTAGCTCCCTCCCTTTGGATTTTTCTAACAAAATTTCAACCACTCACCGTGCTCGAAGCGTACTTTACTGTGCCCTGTGCCGATGATATTTTGAACCGTGTTGTTCCGATACCAAAGTTATAGGAAAAACAAGATGAGGGGCTAACTTGACGCTCAGTCCCCCCTAAATTTTGGAGATCAAACAAAAATGGATTATTATGTAATCTGAAGTGTGCTGAACTGTGCTGTATCAGGTTTTTCTCCAAATTTCCACACTAGGTCATTTTCCAACAAAATCCTACTCGGCGGGCTACTTATTTGATCTGATTTTCAAAATTTTGGGGGGGCTGAACGTCAAGTTAGCCTTGCAGTAGGATTTTGTCAGAAAATGACCGAATAGGATAATTTTCAGAAAAACCTTATACAACATAGTAGTCCAGCACACTTCAAATTGCATAAGAATCCGTTTTTGTTCCATTTGATTTCAAAATTTTGGGGGGCTAGCGCCAATAGTTAGCCCCCCAGTAGGATTTGTCGGAAAACGACCGAATATGGATATTTTGAGAAAAACCTGGTACAGAACAGTTCAGCATACTTCAGATTACATAATAATCCATTCTTGTTTGATTTGATTTCCAAAATTTTGGGGGGGATGCAGGACCGTAGCTAGAGTCAAATTTGTGATAGGGCACAGAGCTGGGATCGTTACTTGAAAAAAGTAACGCGTTACTTTACAGTTACTTTTGCTTAAAAATAATTCGTTACTTAAAATTTACAGTTACTTTGGAATAATGATAACTTTATTTTCGTTACTTATTGGAAAGTAACGCGTTACTGTAACTTCTTTACTTTGAAAGTAACTTCTTTACTTTAAAAATAGTTCGTTACTTTAAAAGTAACGCGTTACTTCAAAAATAATTATTTACGTCGAAAATTGCTTTATTCTTTAATTTGACTTACCAACAAAGCAGTCCAAACAATCAAATTAGACCTATACAAAATGCCAATATGTTTTTAGTTTGTAAGTCCGACTATGTGGAAGAGTATTCTGAGCGACTAAATAGAGCACTTGGTTTTGGACAAACCTGCTCTTTAAGGGACGCTTCAAAGAGTCTGCATATAGTGTCTTTAGAGCAGAGGTGGCGCGTAGCACGCCCAGAAACGATTATTTTGAGCTTTCAAAACAAATTTTCTGTACTACCCACATTTTATTTGATATACAAAGTTTTTAGATTACTTATTTTCCTTTTCCTCACTCGTCAATTATTTGTAAAGAAGATAAACAAATTGAGAGAACGAGTTATTTTTATAGTAACTAGTAACGCGTTACTTCCAGCGTTACTTCAGGAAAGTAACGTCGTTACAGTTACTTATCAATCAATCTGAAAAGTAACGAAGTTACCAAGTAACGCGTTACTTTCAGTAACTCATTAAAGTAAAGTAACTATTTTTTGTCGTTACTCCCAGCTCTGATAGGGCATAACAAATTTGACATAGGGCATACACCCCCCCCCCTCTTAAATTTTTTATAGGTTAACAAAAGAGGGGTAATGGCCCCAAAGGCTAATTTTTCAATAAGTCAATGTTGTTTGAGAGAGGTAGGTTGCTTGATAACTTCATGACGTTTGGGGTGCCTCAATATAATAAAAATCTCCAAGGCATCCTAGATGCGTTATTAAGTTACCCATTACTAGGCAACCTATTATTAACTTTAGGAACCTTGTCAATAAATAACATCTCTAGCAAGTAAACAAAATGGCGCTGATTTTCGCGCCGCACTCTTTCGAAAAAAAAAACTTCCTCTGTGCAAATGTCAAACGTCAAATATTGTTGCATACATTAGACGTTTCTGGAAACACTTAAGCCGGGAACACACCTTCGACACGGTACGTCACGTTACGAGCTGGCGCGTGCAGTACTAAAAGTGAGATCTCCAATTCTACGTGTCTTTTTATGGATCTCGATCACACACACTACACGATACGGTATAGCCAACACAGTACGCTGGCGCCACATAACACGCGTGTCTCCGCTTGACGTTGCAAGCAGTTTTGTGCAGAATTGTGTTATAAAAAAAAATAGAAAGTTTTTTTCAGGTAATGACCAACGTAAAATCAGGGACATAAGAGTCCCTGTTTGGGAATCGACCCACTGAGTAGTGGGGCGGAGCCCACGGATAGAATATTGTTAAAAATTCCCTTCCCCCGAAGCAAAAAGTTCCTCATGGGGGGCGGCCAAAGAGCTAGAACCGGCCCTGGATGAAACATGGTGTCAAATCGACTTCTGCACTGGGTTCTATTCCAACAGTGCGGAAGCGCATCATTGTGGTTAAAACGACCTCCTTGACATAAGTATCCAGGGGCGTCAAACATAGAATTAGGTACTTCCAAAGCTCTAGTTGGTGTGGTTGCTGTCGGAAGTACCAGTTTCCTCTTTCTTGTGAATAGGACCATTTCAATCTTTTTGGGGTTGATGGACAGAGTGTATTTCGTGTACCATCTTTCTATAATCCGAAGAGCATGTTGCATGCATTTGCAAAGCGATCTCGAATTTGCCTCCATGCAAGATGACTACGTCATCTGCATAAGCTATTTTGTAGTGGTTGTCATTGTTTAGGCGGACAATGATGAGACTGTTTAGAAACGATGTTCCGCAGGAGAGGTGATAGCACGCCTCCCTGCGGGCAGCCTCTTGTGACTGTTCCTTTAATGTTGACTTCCTGCACATTTATCTGTACAATTCTTTTGGAAAGCATATTGAATATCCATCCAGTAACAGTTTCCGGAGTATTCTTTACTGTTATTAACGAGTGGCTAATTTTTTGAAAGGTCAATATCGATGAAAACCTCGAGGGCAGACTCTCTGTTGTCCAACGATTTTTCCACTCGCCCAGCAACCAGGTGGAGGGCTATGTCCGTTCGTTGATCTCCCGGGGGTGTATGCATGTTGATTATAGGGTGGAGTGAATTTTGGTTGATAGCACTTCCCTTATGTACCTTTCACACACCCTCTCCATTATTTTTAGAGAAAATGATGAGAGGTTTATGGGTCGATATGCCTTGGGGGTGGTGTAGTTCATCCTCCCTGGTTTGGGTAGGAACACTACTCCAACTTCTCTCCAAACCTTGGGTATGTATCTCAGTGCCAAAGACGCCCTAAACATCCCTAACAGGTTCGGTAAGAGTGGCTTCAGACCCTACTGAAGTAGGGTTGGATAGATGCCGTCAGGTCCTGGTGCTTTGAAGGCTCATTTATTCTAGGCTCTAGAATTTTTCTTATGCTATCATTTAGAGAAAACTACCATTTCAAGAGCCTGGAATGAACAACAAATCAAGAAATCTCACAGTTTGTCTCGCTTCTCCTAAATAGTTCAAATTTCAGGTTGTTATGGCAAGCGAAAGCGGTTGCCCAATCGAAATGCATCACATTGACATCGAAAAATGTGACGAAATGTACGATAAAGACTGCAAAGGTGACAAATATATTCCCTTTCATCGAGCCATGTACGACAGAGACACTGGCCAAAGCCCTAACAGCCCCAGAGAACAAGTAAGTATAATACAGACAATGAAATAGTGAAGTTTTATAGTAATTTGATAGGTGAATCGAGTCAGTAGCTGGATAGATGGCAGCTTCATTTACAGCACAAGCGAACCTTGGATCAGCGCGATGAGATCTTTTGAAAATGGCAGTTTCCTAACTGATACTACTGGCAAAATGCCTATAAGAAACTACAAAAAAATACCCCTTTTTAACAATCCAGCACCTCACATGATGAAAATGCTTAGCACTGAAAGATTATTCTGTAAGAATTCATAACTGTTTCCAAATTATTCATACATTGTTTCATTATAGTACTAGGTGATCCACGTACAAACCAAAACCCAGCACTTTTAACCCTTGGCATACTGTTCTTCAGATGGCATAACGTGATAGCTGCTAGGCTTCAGAAGAACAATCCAAAGTGGAGCGACGAAGATGTTTTCCAGAAAGCCCGCCGCATAGTCGTCGCAACGCTGCAAGTATACTTTCGGAAATTTTTCGCATTAACCCGAAACAATCAATAATTTTATCAATTTTCTACATTCCAGAACATCATCGTGTATGAATATTTGCCAGCGTTCCTAGGCGAATCTTTGCCAGATTACCAAGGCTACGAGCGAAACGTTCATCCGGGTATCACGCACGTTTTTCAGAGTGCTGCTTTTCGGTTTGGACATTCGTTGATCCCTCCAGGTCTCTATCGTAGAGATGCCAAGTGCAACTTTAAGAAAACTCCTCTGGGGCATTTGGCGTTGAGACTGTGTTCGACTTGGTGGGACTCAAATGATGTTCTTACAAATAATTCTTTAGAAGAGCTTTTAATGGGTATGACATCACAGTTAGCGGAAAGAGAAGATGCTTTTTTGTGTTCTGATGTCAGAGATAAATTATTTGGTCCGATGGAGTTTTCTAGAAGAGATTTGGGTGCTTTGAATATTATGAGAGGGAGAGATAATGGCCTACCTGATTATAACACTGTAAATTTTTATTGTATTTTGACTAAGGCACTTTAACAATTACATTATTATAATAGGTTCGTGTCTTTTATGGTCTTAAACGACGTGCGAATTGGACAGACATCAATCCGAAATTGTTCCAAGAAAAACCAGAACTACTTCGGACTTTAGTGTCAGCTTATACAAACAACATTGACAATGTTGATGTTTATGTAGGAGGAATGTTGGAAAGTTACGGCCAACCTGGCGAACTATTTAAAGTGGTCATCAAAGAACAATTTGCCAGATTACGAGACTCCGATAGGTTCTGGTTTGAGAACGAAGCCAGCGGGTAAGAGATTTTTCGCTTGAAATTCAAATTGATAACGCAAGTTTTTAGCATTTTTACAAAACAAGAAATCGAGGAGTTGCGCAAAATCACCTTGTGGGATATCATAGTGAATAGTACTAGCGTTGAACCCGGAGCTATACAGAAAAATGTATTTTTTTGGAATAAAGGAGATCCCTGCATGCAACCGATGCAGCTCAATGTATCGGAAATGGAGCCTTGTAAAATGATCACTGGATATGACTATTTTGAGGTAGGATTTTTGGTATAGAATGGATTTAGATAAAAAAGATGTTATTGACACAATATGCTACAATTTATTACAATTAGAAATATAATGAAGATGAAGTCAAAATGAGGGTCTGCTCATAGTGTTTTGAAGTTAGATAAGTCATTTTTAGTATTCTAAATTCTTGAAAATTACTTAGAAAGAGTATTCAGGAGTTGTTCACTGTATACAGTGTTTTATAAAATTCTTGAAAATGATTTAGAAAGAGTATTTTGAAGTTGTTCACAGTATCTTATGAAACTGAAGACTAACTGGCATATTGTTTTGATAGTTGAGGAATCTATTAACGACATTTCCAGAAGATAGGAATGTCTCAAAAGCTATTTGAGACTATTTCCAAGCTAGTCATGGTGTTTTGAAGTTAGATAAGTGATTTTCAGTATTCCAAATTCTATTCACTGTGTCTTAAGAAGCTGAAAACCAACTTACATATTATTCTGATAGTTGAGGAAGCTATAAACGATTTTTCCAGAAGCTAGGAAAACGTCTCAAAAGCTATTTGAGACTATTTCCAAGCTGTTCAAAATGTTTTGAAGTTAGATAAGTAATTTTCAGTATTCCAGATTCTTGAAAATGACTTGGAAGAGTATATTTTACAGATGTTAACAGTTCACTGTGTCTTAAGAAGCTGAAAACCAACTTACATATTGTTCTGATAGTTGAGGAAGCTATAAACGACTTTTCCAGAAGCTAGGAAAACGTCTCAAAAGCTATTTGAGACTATTTCCAAGCTGATCATAATGTTTTGAAGTTAGATAAGTAATTTTCAGTATTCCAAATTCTTGAAAATGACTTGGAAGAGTATTTTACAGATGTTAACAGTTCACTGTGTCTTAAGAAGCTGAAAACCAACTTACATATTATTCTGATAGTTGAGGAAGCTATAAACGATTTTTCCAGAAGCTAGGAAAACGTCTCAAAAGCTATTTGAGACTATTTCCAAGCTGTTCATAATGTTTTGAATTTAGATAAGTAATTTTCAGTATTCCAAATCCTTGAAAATGACTTGGAAGAGTATATTTTACAGATGTTAACAGTTCATTGTGTCTTAAGAAGCTGAAAACCAACTTACATATTGTTCTGATAGTTGAGGAAGCGATAAACGACTTTTCCAGAAGCTAGGAAAACGTCTCAAAAGCTATTTGAGACTATTTCTAAGCTGTTCATAATGTTTTGAATTTAGATAAGTAATTTTCAGTATTCCAAATTCTTGAAAATGACTTGGAAGAGTATTTTACAGATGTTAACAGTTCACTGTGTCTTAAGAAGCTGAAAACCAACTTACATATTGTTCTGATAGTCGAGGAAGCTATAAACGACTTTTCCAGAAGCTAGGAAAACGTTTCAAAAGCTATTTGAGACTATTTCCAAGCTGATCATAATGTTTTGAATTTAGATAAGTAATTTTCAGTATTCCAAATCCTTGAAAATGACTTGGAAGAGTATATTTTACAGATGTTAACAGTTCATTGTGTCTTAAGAAGCTGAAAACCAACTTTCATACTGTTCTGATAGTTGACGAAGCTATGAAAGACTTTTCCAGAAGCTGGGAAAACGTCTCAGAAGCTATCTGAGACTACTTCCAAGCTGTTCATGGTGTTTTGAAGTTAGATAGTAATTTTCAGTATCCTAAATTCTTGAAAATGACTTATAAAGAGTATTTTGGGGCTGTTCACAGTACTGAATGTCCTATAAAGCTAAAAAAACTAACTTGCATATTGTTTTGATGGCTGATGAATCTATTAACGACATTTCCAGAGGCTGGGAAATGTCTCAATAGCTACTTGAGAGTTCTGAGACTACTTCTAAGCTGTTCATAATATTTTGAAGTTAGATAAGTAATTAGTATTCCAAATTCTTGAGAATGACCCAGAAAGAATATTTTGGAGCTGTAACAAATAGAATCATAAATGTCTTTCCAAGTCGGCACTAAAACTTCTCTTAAATCATCTTTGAAAGTTTCTTAATAATACTTTCAGTTCCTAATCAAACCTTAAAACATTCATTTTCTAGGGTAACGAGTTGGTCTACATCTACGCGTGCGTTTTCCTCGGTTTCGTCCCGATAGTATGTGCCGGTGCCGGTTACGGCGTCGTCAAACTACAGAATCGTCGTCGTAGACGCCTGAAAATGAAACAAGAAGAACTGAAATCGAAGCCCGTCGACGCAATGATGGTGCATGAGTGGTTGCACGCCAACCACAAACGTTTGGTGAAAATCAAATTCGGCCCGGACGCCGTTATCAATTTGATTGGCCGAAAAGGGGAGAATTTGAGAAGTGCCAGTTTCAAACATTACGACTCTGTGTTGGTGGAAGAGTCTCTGGATGTGACTATAGTGAAGAAACCAATGATTTTAATCCAGGTGCCTAGAGATCACGATTTGGTGCTGGAATTTGATAGCGTTGGCAGCAAGAAGAAGTTTTTGACCAAGTTGGAGATGTTTTTGACTTCAAATAAAAAGAGTTTGTTGCAGACTCAAGTAGTCAGAGAGTTGATGCTGGCAAAAGCTGAAACTAAACAACGTAGAGAAAAAAAATTGGAACATTTTTTCAGAGAAGCTTATGCTTTGACATTTGGCTTAAAACCTGGCGAAAGAAGACGTGGCAGTGATGATTCTACAGATGGAGAAGTAGTTACAGTTATGCGTACATCTTTAACAAAATCCGAATTCGCTAGTGCTTTAGGCATGAAAACTGATGCAGTTTTTGTAACAAAAATGTTCAACATTGTCGATAAAGACGGAGACGGACGCATATCCTTCCAAGAATTCTTGGACACTGTAGTATTATTTTCCAGAGGCAAAACCGATGATAAATTACGCATTATTTTCGACATGTGCGACAACGACAGAAACGGAGTAATAGATAAAGAAGAATTCTCAGAAATGCTACGAAGTCTTGTGGAGATTGCCAGAACAACAAGCCTATCAGACGATCATGTGACTGAACTTATAGATGGCATGTTTCAGGATGCTGGTTTGCAACACAAAGACTATTTAACCTATCAAGATTTTAAGGAAATGATGCGCGAATATAAGGGCGATTTTGTAGCTATAGGCTTGGACTGTAAGGGGGCCAAGCAAAACTTCCTGGATACTTCGACTAATGTGGCTAGGATGACTAGTTTTCATATAGAACCAACCATTGACATGGAAAAATCTTATGTCAGAATTAAGTGGGACAGTCTTACAACATTTTTGGAAGAGAATAGGCAAAATATATTTTATTTGTTTATTTTTTATGTGGTTACTATTGCCCTATTTGTGGAAAGATTTATACGTAATTATTTTTCAATTGATCATTATAGTACTACTTAATAACATTTTAAATTTTAGATTATTCTTTCATGGCTGAACACACTGATTTACGTCACATAATGGGCGTTGGAATAGCTATAACCAGAGGATCAGCAGCATCACTATCCTTTTGCTACTCAATTCTATTATTGACAATGTCCAGAAACCTCATCACCAAACTAAAAGAATTCTCCATACAACAATACATACCTTTAGACGCCAATATTCAATTTCATAAAATAGCCGCTTGCACTGGCTTGTTTTTCTCATTATTACACACTGTAGGCCATATAGTTAATTTCTATCACGTGTCCACCCAGCCAGTAGAAAACCTTAAATGTCTGACAAACGAAATCAGATTTCCATCAGATTATAAGCCAGGCATCAGTTTCTGGTTGTTCCAAACAATAACCGGAGTTACTGGAGTGCTGTTGTTTGTTATAATGTGCATCATCATAGTCTTTGCTCATCCGACTATCAGAAAAAAAGCCTACAAATTCTTTTGGTTTACTCACAGCCTCTATGTTTTACTTTACGCTCTATGTCTCATTCACGGGTTGGCGCGTTTAACGGGAGCCCCAAGATTTTGGCTCTATTTTATAGGACCAGGCATCATTTTTACTTTAGATAAAGTTGTAAGCATGCGCACAAGATATATTCCTTTGGACGTGTTGGAAACTGAACTATTACCTTCGGATGTGATTAGGATTAAGTTTTACAGGCCACCGAATCTTAAATATTTGTCTGGTCAATGGGTGAGGTTGGCTTGTACAGGATTCAAGGATCGAGAATTTCATTCGTTTACTTTAACTTCGGCACCGCACGAGAATTTTTTGTCTTGTCACATTAAGGCACAAGGTAACAAAATTGTATTTACCTATAAAAATAATCTAATTAGTTGATTTTAGGTCCTTGGACTTGGAAATTGCGTAACTATTTCGATCCGTGCAATTACAACTTAGAAGATAATCCAAAAATCCTTATTGAAGGTCCTTTTGGAGGTGGTAATCAGGATTGGTATAAATTCGAAGTTGCTGTTATGGTGGGAGGTGGTATAGGTGTGACACCTTATGCCTCTATTTTAAACGATTTGGTTTTTGGTACTTCTACAAATAGGTATTCTGGAGTTGCTTGCAAAAAAGTCTATTTTCTATGGATTTGTCCTTCGCATAAACATTTCGAGTGGTTTATTGATGTACTAAGAGATGTGGAACGAAAAGATGTCACCAATGTGCTCGAGATTCATATTTTTATTACCCAGTTTTTCCATAAATTTGATTTGAGGACAACTATGTTGTATATTTGCGAAAATCATTTCCAGAGATTATCTAAAACGTCTATATTTACTGGTTTGAAGGCGGTTAATCATTTTGGTAGGCCGGATATGACGTCGTTTTTGAAGTTCGTGCAAAAAAGACACAGTTATGTTAGTAAAATTGGGGTGTTTAGTTGTGGTCCTAGACCGCTCACGAAAAGCGTAATGTCGGCTTGCGATGAAGTGAATATGGGCAGAAAATTGCCCTATTTTATTCATCACTTTGAAAACTTTGGATAATTGTTCAAAAATACTTAAATTTTTTGTGATTTATTTGTTGTAATTTTTCTTGCAAGTATTTAAACTTATTTATTATTAATAGTTTATTTTTTTATAATAATTTTATTTATTTTTTACCAATAAAACAACTGTGCTATTTCCAATAAAATCCTTGACTATGATTTATTACCTAATAATGAAATAATATAAAAAAAATACATAAATTAAACTATATGTAAAAATCAGTACAAAGAAAATTGTCATGACATGGAAATTAGTACATAATTCAAATGGGCCAGCAAATCTATGTTATTCGATTAAATCTTTGGTATTTTCGATTAAAAGTAATTTTTTTGAATTTTATTTACTAGTACCAGGCTCACTCAAAGATTTGTTGACATTCTCTTGCCCAGAGTCCTTCTTAAAACTCTCATAAAGATCCGAAACTGCAGCTGATACCTGATAAACTCTAGTGTAAACACCTTGAAGTTCCAAGTCTTGATTCGAAATTATATAACATTCTAAAAAATTATTACTTAAACCCATTCAAATCTACAAAATAATTCTTACCTGGTTTGTTGTGCACCAACTTCCGACAATAAATATTCATAATTGACAAAACATCGTTGCCTCTTTCACACAATTCTTCATTTTCCCTTATGAAAACGTCTATGTTGCATTTGTAGAACAAAATAACCGAAGTCCATTTTTCGTTATCAATCAGCATACATAAATTGTCTACTAGATTGTCAGATGTTACAATTCCACTGACAGAGGGAGATACTCCACCATCGGCTTCCATATCTTCCAAAGCTCTTGTTATTGCGGAACGGATTGTGTGCATTTCAGGACTCACATCGCGGAACTGTTAAGAGATAATTTGAGTACTAAAAGTTATACAAAGCTTAAGCTTACTTCTCCATTTTTTAAGCTTCCATGTAAAGAAAATATCATTTTATTGCCAGCTTCAACTAACAAAATTAATTGAAAATACAACTTGTAGAGGGCCTTGCCTAAATCCACCAAATACTGTTCGTGTTGGAAATCTGCCTGTTGTCCGCTGAGTAATTCTAATTTTAAAGTCGTTTTGACGGCATCACAGTACTAAAAAATAATTCGAATATTTCAAAAAACAAACCAAAATCCTCACCATCATTGCTTGATCTCTTTTATCACAGAAAGTTTCCAAATGTTCCTGCACTTCTAAAATACCATATTTGAGATTTTCATAGAATCTAGAATTACTTAGAGCCATTGTATTGAACCATATCACATTTACGGGCAGAATTCTATTTTTAAAAAAAATAGTTTAGTAAACTTTTCATTATATTATAAAAAAATTCTTGCCTATAATTGACTATATCTATCATCGAATTCAGTCTAGCAGTTAAAAGCTTAATAGTCCCTTGACTACTTATAGTAGACTGACACATATTTACACAAGATTCTTTAGTAATTTCTATTGTCGAATGGCAAATGTCCTAAAAGTAATTCCAATAAACAAAAACGGTTTTGCAAATATTTTTGCTTACAGTAACCAGCCTTTGAAGCTGATGGAAAAATTGCAAACAATTAGCGGGAGTCGATACATTATTAGCTTCAACAAAAGCGTTCCAACATTCCAAAACGTCGCTTTTTGGTATTCTTATACCTGGTAAATTGGGTGAGGCATTGCACGGTGTTACTTCGCCCAAATCACCTGCACTAGAACCACTAACAAACAATTTTTAGAAATTAATTTCAATCAAACATTAAACCAACCTTGTATCAGATCTAGCACTAGAATTGGCTTGTGGTTCTCTTAAACCTAAAGAAGACGGAGGAAAAATAGCGCTACTTTCAGCGTTGCTATTATCAAAATCAGGAGCGATTGCTATTTCGTCTAAAGGAGATTCAGATTCAATTTCGTCATCAGAAGATTCTTCAGCAACAAGGCGCTAGAAAATAATTTTATAATGAAAAATCTAATAGCAATTATTTTTGCTAACAGTCAAACAAAGCGGAAATGTAATGATATGAATAACAAAATACAAACAAAACAGTATGAACAATGCTGGACGCAGACTCACATCATGGTTAAAGGGGCACACGTGTACCTTTCTAACAGTCAGCACAGGCGTTTTCTCACTAAGACTATCCTCCAATTTGACACCGCCTTGTTCTTCCTCACCTTGACTGAATTGGTGTCTGCGGACGCCCCAATTGAAATTATCTGTGCTTTCACCCTATAAAAAAAAAATATACATATAATTCCAAACAAAAATAACAAATACCCTTACTTCAATGCTTTCACTCTCATATTCCAAGAAATCAAAGTCCTTAAAAACACCAAACTCCGCAGCTGCATCATCACGTCTAGATCCACCGCTCATATCGTTATTTCCTGCAGAAACTTCTTCAGTACTAGAAGCCATGCTCGATTGTCTTTCAATCAAATCAGACGTTTGGCTGAAAATTACTGAAGGGCTCTTTGGCAAGCCCACTCTTTGACCGCAAGTAGTTAGCAAATTAACTAGGCACTCTCTCACTCGCCCTTGGCACATCCAAGGCCTTTTCCAGCCACTTTGGCTACTAACATCTGCAGGACTAATAGAGCAAGACCTCCTAGGAGTAACAGAGGCTTTCGCCTTATCAACATCCTCATTTTTATGTATAAATCGCCTGCCAATAACAGGCGTTTGTGATAAGTCAAAAGTAAACTCCATCGTACGACCTGGCAATTCTTTTTTGGCAAACACGCTGTCTTCGGAAAATGTAACCGGGTGTGGTACTGATTGAAAATGAGTTTCCCAATGGCTGGTTAATGATGTAGGAGGTGCTACTAGAGAACTCGATCTACTGACTACTAGTTTTAAGATTTTCAAGGCCTCCTTCCAATGAGGGCCTTCAATATACTTGATAATAATTCTCAATAAGTCTGCATTGATTGGCTGTGCTGCGGGCGTTGCTAAATCTACATAATGCAACTCGCAATGGATTATATTTAAAATAGGCAGCTGCAAACTACTTTGTCCCTTTTCTAGAATTTCTACTAGAAACGATAATAAATGAAGCCCCAAATGAGAGTAAGTATCGTGGAGATATTTAATCACACATTTAGTCCATTGGAAGCTTTCCTTACTAAAATTACGACGGCTATAAAGGTTCATTACAGTACCTAAATTCTCTAGTTTTTTGCTTTTTTCAATACTAACTTGTGCAATATTTTCAGCAGCTCTTATACACAACTCATTAGCATCTTCATAGTTAAGCAACATATACGGCAACAAAGCAATAACGTTCATAGGAAAAGCAATGCTTTGTGAAGCATCAACCACAACAAAATTCAATAAAGGAGTGAATTGTGACAAAAGCTCTACAGTCGGTTCATAAATATTTGGATGGGTGCAACCTTTTAAGAGAAGAGCGTGCACTCCAGGAAAACTGTTCCAACGCAATTGTTGCTGCAATTTTTCAACTTTATCTCTAGCATCTGGTCTATCGAGAGGCAATCTATGCATGACCCTAGTCAAAAGTTGAACTGCCAAAGAAAATTCGTGCTCATAATCTGACTCTAGCAACGAGACAGCTAACCAAAACAGTTGAGCCAATATTGTAAGCTTGTCATCTTGTGTAGCTGAATCTCCTAACATTTTCAAACTTTGCGCCGATCTAGATCTAGACAAATTAGATGAAAATTTAGCCTTATTGTTTTGCTCCATATCGTTTGTAATGTTTCTGTTTCGCTTTTCATCACCGCCTGGGGCACTTTTTCTAAAACCATAAGACACCGAGTAACTAGTACTTCTGGCATGACCGACCGAAATTGAATGATTCAAAATTGGAGTGGCATGGTCCGGGTTCTTTTTGAAAACGCTCGCGTCTTTGTTGTTCAAATTCGGAGTGGATTTGAAGATTTCTTTGGTAAGATCTAGTGGGCGAAAATCGGATTCCAACGAATCGACTGCTGCTTCAAGAGTAAGCAACAGCTCAGTTACATAGCCTAATTGAATAAATTATTTAAAAACATTATTAATTATTCACGACACTAGAATTTTTACCTTGCATGTCCTCGCCTTGTTCAGCCACAGTTTCCACTAACCTGCTCAATATATCAGATAGCATTCTTGATGTTATTGGTACTCGTAAGGCTCTAAATATTTGCAAAGATCGCCCAGCGTAGTGTCTTGAAGAACAGCTTAAGCCTAATTGTAAGGCAGTTTGTGCCCATCTTTCGTTTATATGGGCATTTGGCAATGAATCTCTAAAGACTCTTAGAATATATTGCAAGAAAATATCAATTTGCTCTGCACTTTTTATTGTAAAAACTTTAGCGGTTATATCTTCGTAGTTCCATAAAGGCGTTTGCTTGGTAGCTAGAAAATCTATTAGGGATTTTATGACTGTGGGTGTGGTTAGGTGTAATTTGATTGGTAGTGGTGGTTGTTCAGTGTTTTCTGGTAATACTATTAGAGGAGGGAGAGAATTATTGTCTTTTTCTTCGTTGGAATCTTCATCTTTTGACGAAATACTTTGCAGATTCTTGTTGGTTGCTTCAACGGCCATACTCAATACCACTTGGTTGTAGAGGAATTCGTCAAAAGTAGAATCTACCTCTGGAAATTGTATGGCATAAATTATTAAGTAAAAGTAAATACAATTTCTTACCAGTAAAAACGTGATTAACTATAGGTAAAGATGGTGTAGTTAGTCCTAATTCCAGCTGAGTAGATTGACTGTTTAATAATATATGAGCCACTGTTAAATGATCATTATGCTGCGCCAACACTATCAATAGGTTCATCAAAAGTTGCTTGCAATGTTGGTAAACTATTGTTCTAGTGTGATCTAGCCCTAAGAATAAAATGTGGAGCATAAGTGGTACATGAATAGCCCAATCTAGTTCTATTCCATCCACTACAATGTCGCAGAGGAGCATTACACCAACATTACATCTGAAAATAGTTGATTTTGTATGAAGAAATTCTAGGAAATATACACACACCGGCAAAATTAGGGGAACGGACAAAATTTACACTAAGTTTGACATCAATTTTCTCTTGAACCCTCCGCTCAATTTCAATGAATTTTTCACAGATTCTAGCTTAATTCATTAGGAATACATCTGACGTATTACCGTTATTAAATAATTCGTCTCTATATCATATACAGGGATGGAAAGAAAGTCAGTAGTTTTTTGAGACACCCTGTAGAGCGAATCACTGGAAATTGAGAACAGTTTTCAACACCAAATTGTAGCCTGATCTTTTTATTTTTTATTCACTCTGATATTTTCAATATTATTGAAAATACATTAGAGTTTCGAAGAAAAGATGGATATTGACCTTAATTTTCTCCACGTCGACATACGAATTGGATATGAAAATGTCATTTTTCAACTTCAAGCCGTGTGTGTGAATGTTTACTTCAAGTTAAATATGGCTCGCAGCTTTACCTCTCACTGATCAAGGATGCGTAGTTTAGATAAATAACCTTCCACCAAATGGAAATCATGAAAGGAACTTTCTGATCCCCCTGTATATTTGTGAGTATTTTTTTTCACAATAAATTGATCGGTAAGAGTTAAAACTGCGAGCAATATTTAACTTGAAATAAACATTCACACTTGAAGTTGGAACACGATATATTTTCATATCCAATTTGTATGTCGACTTGGAGAAAATTAAGGTCAATGTCCACCTTTTCTTCGAAACTCTGTATTTTCAATAATATTGAAAATATCAGAGTAAATAAAAAATTGAAATGTTCGAAAAAGACCAGGCTACAATTTGGTGTTGAAAACTGTTCTGAATTTCCAGTGGTTCACTTCACGGAGTATCTCAAAAAACTCTGAAAATTACTGACTTTCTTTCCATCCTTGTATATGATATAAGGACGAATCATTCAATAACGATAATACGTCAGATGCTTTTCTGAAGAATCAAGCTACAACCTGTAAAAAATTCATCGAAATCGAGCAGCTGGTTCAAGAGAAAATTGATGCCAAACTTAGTGTAAATTTTGTCCGTTCCCCTGTGTTCCTACTTACCTATGGAATCCTGAAATAGGTTGTGATGTGTCTGGTAAATATTCAGTTAATGGGGCAAAATAGCCACCAAATTCTGGCATTGGTAACGGATGAGGTTGTGGAATATCTAATTTTTCTCTCAAAATAATTTCATCTCCATTTGAAGCCTACATTATGAAATATTATATTTTTAAAATTTAAAACATATACACTTACTTCCTCTAATGAATTACTCAATTCATCAGGATTTCTGAGTTTCTCAGTCCGATTCATACTAAAATCAGTAAACATATTTGCTCCTGACTCAGATTTACCCATTATTTTTGATGGATCTTCCCCACTGTGTCTTTTAGTATGAATTGTACCCTTTTCAATGCCTAAAAACACTAATTAATAATATAACAAATATACCTAAATGTTTTTTTTACTTAAATCATTTCTGCTGCTACTATCGCTTTGCCCAGCAACTCCATTAGTACCATCCGAATGACTTGAAGTCTTACGCATTACTGTCAATCTATAAAAAGGAGGAGTCTCGGTTCTTTCTATGAGACAATTGAGAGTCTCAACTGTTTGAAGTTCCAACATCATTTCGTCAAGCAGTCTCACTGGTTGGACTCTTGCCAAATAGAGTACCACTCTTTTGGCCTAAAATATTGTCAGTATTTCAAATAAACCATTGTGAAAATGAAACTTACATGCGGCAGAAGTTCAAAAGGTGCCATTCCAGAAATAATTATCAAATAACGTATGATAACTTTCATGTTATTAGGCCAGGATGTGCATAGGGTGCCCCAAACTTCTTCAATTTCTTTTGGGTGACTGTCACCAAACTAGAAATTTTACAATTTCATATTTTGATATTTTTTGAAAAAATCAGTGAGGGAAAAATTTTGAAACTTTTATAGTAAAAAGAGGAAAGTTAGTAAGAGCTTGTCATACTAAAATTTCAAATTATTTCAGTAAAAAACCACAACAGAGAAAATTCTAGAAAATCAACTTTTGAAAAGTCAAATAATGAAAATGCACTCTTTCATATCTGGATATTTTTTGAAAGAAGCAAAGAGTGGAAAATTTTGAAACTTTTACAGTAAAAAAAAAGAAGGTTAATAAGAGCTTGTCATGTTATTAAAATTTCAAATTGGTTCAGTGTACCTTTGCTGTAATGTAAAATATATTATTGAGAACCATTTCAGTGGCCTCGGCTGAACCCCAACCTTCTTTTCGCTCACTGCCTATTTCGCCAGCATAAAACTGATACATATGCGGATGTGTAGGAGGAATATTGGGATCTACCAGCTCCATATTATGCAACCAAGGCAGCAAATATTGAAGCAAAAGCTGACGCACTTCAGGACGTGCCGTTTGGAATCTGTAGGTAATTTCTAGAAGAGAAATATTTTTTAATAATACTTTTATAAAGCAAATTACCTACCTGAAAACATTGGCATGGTAAGTTCAGGATGCAATAGTGCTAATTGTCGTGATAAATGAATTTGCGAGCGACAATATGACATGGCCAAAATGGCATCTAAAGTATCTCTGCCTTTATCGCCTTCAGCTAGAAAAAACAATAACTTTTATTGAAAAATTGGAAATTTATTTATTTTTTGTACCCAAATCACTCTCAGGTAATGGTCCGACACTACTGAAAAACCTCTTATCCAACAGCTGCAACAATTGCAAAGCAGTATCTCTAACATTTTGCCTAGGACATCCTGTATTCATTAGCGTTACATTTATAATGGCTGTGTAATGGTCGCAAGGATACTCTCTGGCACTAAAAATGGTGGCCAAAGCCAGAAAACATCCGTCAGCCACTTTAGAAGATCCTGTATAACATTTATCTACAATCCAGTCTAAGAGCTGTGAAATATCTGGGTTTGATTCCAGCAAAAGAATTACAGTTTCTTGAGCTAGATTATAGACCTGAAATACAATACAAATTATAGTAGTTTAAATTATGCTTCAATTTCTTACTTTTTCATCTGAACTATTCAACAATCCATCCAACCACAAATAATAAGGACTTTCTTCGGTTAGGCTATCAAAACAAGGTCCACAACATAAAATCGAACTCATAGCTAAAAGTGAAGCATATTGTAGCTCAGCATGTTTTTTGTTGGTCATATCGCCTTCAGGCTGTTGAATTTTTGTGTTGGGCAGTGTATGTTTTCCTACCCAATGAGCAAATAGTACAAATAGGCTTTTTCTGAGGTCTCGTTTCAGAAGACTGCGTCTCACATCCACTAAAAAATTGTTCGTAGCAATATAGAATAGAATTATTTATAATTATTACTTACAGCTAAAATTTTTGATCATTTTTCTTAAAAAGTGGCAAAAATGATAAGTCAGATCTCTAACGCTGCTCGAATTTTTATCTGGCTCATTTTCCAAATAATATCTGACTCCTTCAATAAATTCAACCAAGGAAAAATGTAAACTTTGCGAGTCTTTGTCAATTGCACAAGAGCTGGAATTGAAAGTCTCATTTTCAGCAATATACTCTAGAAGTCTCATAATTTGCAGTCTCAAAGCGTCCCTTCTGCGACGTCTCCTGACGTTTTCCTGCTTTTTATCGATTGCCTCTCTAATATACACAGTCAATTCCTCTAAGAGATCCCTGCAAATTCATAATGCAGCAATAATTCAATAAGGCATTAGTGAGAAATTTACCTCAAAGCAAGTGAATTAATATTTCCTGCAGCAAATACTGTAGCGTCTCTTATATCAGCCACTTCACACCTTAAATGAGGTATTACCAATTTGTATAAGGCAGTAGGAGATATATTTGCTGACAATTTATTGTCACTTTTCTCTTGACTTAAACTATCTGGAGAAGAACTACAAGAAAATACCATAAAATTCCATTATTAAGTGTTTATTTTTCAGCAGACCTTAGGCTTAAATCTGGACTTGCACAGCGTACAATAGGGGCTGCAATTAAAGGTACCACTCTAAAAGCAAACGTAATGTAATTTTTCCATAAGTGCATATAAGCATCTCTTTCGGTTGGTGGTTTTTTGACAGCTGTAGCGCTTCGCAATAATGAAGCCCTATTATCATTTAGTGGTCTAGAAATAAATAGGCAAAATTTTAAAAAAAAAATCTTCAAGAAAAACATATACTTACGTTGGATCTACAACTGAATACAAAGCATTCAATCTAGTGAAAACTATAGGCCAAGAATGCATAGTCATTGAAGGACACAGGCTTAAAATTTTATCTTTTTCCAAAAAACCAAAAAGGCAAATGCTCCAGGGATCGATAACATTAAAATTGTAGGCGTGCGGATTTTTGTTTGAGCCCTCTTCAACTAAACCCATCGTCCATGTGGAAGAATTTCGATCTGCCAACCACTGAAAATCTATATTAGTTACAGCTTGGATAGCTGCTTTTTCAGCTGGGGGCACGAAAGGCAGACAACGATCCAGAACAACGCTAGAATTTTGGTCTAGTACGTCAATTACAGGCATATTTTCAGAACAAACAAGAAGTTTGAGTAAACATTTGACTTCTTTCAGAATCAGAACTGATAAACGTCTGGATGTCAATCTGAAATAGGTTCATTATTTGAATGGATAGTTTAAGGGCCGGTACTTTTGCTCTCGATTAACGAATTTGATACGTTGTCAAAGTTTTGCATGGGCCAAGGTCTATAAGCATAATGTGGTTAGAGCACATTCTAAGCCCTGATTATTTTTAACGGCTGTCAAATGACAGCAAAAGTACCGGCACTAAGTAAATCAATAAAAGTACCTATAGTTGCACAAAACAACAACAGCCAAAGCCTCAACAAAATGAAAAACTGAAGACAATGGTTCTGATTTGCCTACGTCTGTTTTTCTGGTGAGATTTGGATCAGGAGTTGTAGATTTCATATCACTATAATCTTTAGCTAAAATTGAAAATAAATTATATGAAAATAAATTTACCAAAATTACCTACCTATTCTTAGTGTCCCATTATTTATGGGTGTATTAGTTAAGGCCGATTTCCAAGCACACAACAACGTCAATACCATTTTTAAGCCATGATCCAGTAGCTGAGGAAATGTATCTAAAATATCTTTGGCTACAAATTGAGTGAGTCCCCATAAAACATCTTGACGCCATTCTGGAAAGTCGACTACAAGACTTTGGAGACTGCAATAGGAAAGACCACGCAATTCTTCGTCCATGTGCACTGTTAATCTACTGAGTAGATCTACGAGTTCGCTACTTGTCATTCCGTCAGGAATTAATCTAGAAATTTTATGCCAAATTAATTAAAGACTTTATTTTATGATTGAATTATTCACCTGGGAACTGCAGCCACGCAAGTCCTAAACAATTCAATTCTGGGCTTCCTTTCACCTGTAATCATTTCGTCAGGTTCTTTATTAACATTTTGTGTGTTTGTCATCATTAAAGGTCTGCCATATTGAGTATCTAAAGCCCTCAAAATATCCACAAACACTCTACGCACATGAGGAAAATAGGCATTCATCCCAATACTTTTTGCAGTATCTTCTGTTAGCATTTTATTGAGGAAAGTTTTGCGAACTCTTAAAGTGTTACCACTTGGTAAAACTCCAACAGATCTTGGCATTGGAGGATCTCCTTCCTAAATATTTATAATTAATCATAGTAATTAAAAAATGCTGCAATAATTAAGTACCTTTTGTTGTAGACTATCAGCAACAACCAAAAACGCCCTCAATCCAATACTCATTCTCTCTGGAGTCAAAATCATCTTAATAGGCCTTCCAACTGATAACAAATCAAAAACTATTTCCCTCATAGCAAAATCCAACCTTTCTTGAGCAATAAATTGTATAATTTTAACAAAAATATTCAAAGGAGTATCTCTAGGCACTACTCCTTTAGATCCTTTAGGAAAAAGCGAATTAACAATACTCTGAAGTCTTGACTGCGTAGCTGAATTACTTTCGCATTTAATTCTAATCATGTAGACCCACAAAAGACGGTAAAGAGATTCTAGTGCCACTCGGCACATTTTCGGGTCTCGATTTTTCAAATGCGACAAACACATTGCAAGGAAACAGTGCCAATATTGGAGGAAAAATGTTTTTTGGCTGACGCACAACAGACAAGTTACAAGAGGAAAAAGCGCCAAGCGATGTTTGGCTTTAGTGCTAGCATCCACTGTTTGTGAATAAAGCATTTCGACGAAATTTTTGAGACAAGGAACGTTGACTTCGTTTTTAACTGCTGCAGCTACTGGAACTAAAATTTCAACAAACAACCCTGCCAAGGCGTGTTTGATGTCTTTGTCTTTTACTTCCAGAAAATACTGAGCGCATTCTTGCATAAATTGAAAAGAGGCCTCGAATTCTTCAATTGGGACCATTTTTACTCTAAAAAATTTCATGCCCATAAGTAAACTGATTATACTTTGAGTGGTAGCAGGGCTGGGTTCTCTTGCTCTTAATTCTTTGAGTTCAGCCATGAATCTGGTGCGCACCGACATAAAACGACTTTGAGCCAAAGCTCCAATAACTTCAGCGTATAGATCGCAAATCATGTGAATGTTGGCACCATTTGGATTGTTTTGGATGCCTTCTTGATGTTTGAAGTGTTTTAAGGCTAAATTTTCAATGTACTGGACTAAATCTTCATGGCCTGGGTGAAAAGATAGTTGCTTGAGGACTTCAATTAGTACTAAACAAAATATAAATTCAACTGCAAGATCGCGTTTTTCTTTTTGTATCTCAGCTTCGGACCGTTCGGGGGTTTCTGTGGTGTTTCCTGCAACGATATTTATGATGCTTTTTTGTTTGATGTCGCTTTTCTTCTGTTCTGGGTTTGATACTTCCGACATTTGTCTTTCGTACCAGGAAAATAATGCTTTTAACAAGGAGGGTAGGCAATGTTCTGCTACCGAACCGAAAGCACCTAATAGTTGATCAAATTGAGGATCTTCACCCCTAGAATTCTGTTGCAATAAATAAAACTAAACCAAAAAAAAAATTGTACCTTTGTAATGTTTTTGATAGGGGTTTTTCTTGTGATTCAGTCATAACGTTTTCGATTTTTTTCTCTGCCATAAGGGTGAATTCCTGGAAAAGGCTCCTCATTACAAACTCTCCAGGACGCGTTTCTCCTTCAGTGTTATGGCTAATCATCAGCAAATGAGATACTCTATCTTTTTGGGCTCCCCATGGTAGCAACATGCTCCGATTGATTGCGGAAATGTTGGGAAGTTTTTTTTCTATAAAAATTATTAAACTTTTTATATTTAATAAATACAATTTTTTTTAAACAGGAAATAACATTGTTGTTGTTAGTTCAAATTAGTTCTTACTTTTTTCATATTCTAAAGTAGTAACTTCGTAACTTCCTGTCCTAGTGTACATACTCTTACTGCACATTTGCACTAAATATTCATTTGGGATTTGTAACAGATAGCTCACACTCGATTTAAACCAGCTAAATGTCATAAATTACACACAAAAAAACAAATCTGCTTTTAATAAAGCGCAATGTAGCAAAATCCGTCTGAAATGATTTTTTTCGCCTGCGTCCTAGAGTTATTTATGATTTTATCACAAAAATAGATAAGGCACAACGTAAAGTACATATAGATTATCGAAAATGTTTTATATAAAAAGCGGTACTTAAGTCCAAAAAAAAATCAATAATTATTACTGCTTAATTCACGAGTTGTTTATTTTATTGATTAGATAAAAAATGCATTTATTTTGTTCAAAATTACTAAATATTATCAGCAAAAATTAATTTATTTTTATTCAGACAATAAAAATTGCATTGTTCCAGTTTATTATCCTTTAGATATAAGGTCAAATCTAAAGTCATTCATATTTGCATATGTGTCTGATTTGCCTAGGAGATGTTGTAGATAACAAATTTAAAAAATCCTAATATTTCCAATAATTGTATCATAGATAAAATCGCCTTATGATGGTTTGGATTTTTTAAAAAAGTTTCTGTTATGGATAGAAAGCTGAAATGTTCAGTGATTGTTATCCCAGTAGAGGACTACAATCCCTGAGAATTTCAGCTTATTGGGACTTACAGTTTCAGAAATAAAATCGTGTTGGGAAATTTGGGGTAAATTTATTATTTTTCAATTTTTCTGAGTGCCTTTTATCATAGATTTCAGTTTCAAATCTCAGAATAATTTTGTGTAAGTATGGAGTTTGGGAGGTCCAGGTCCCAAAGGATCATTTAGACGTAAAATCTCAACATAAAAAACATTGAAATTTCATCATTTTAGTACTAAGGATTTGGATTTTTGAAAAATTTGAAAAGTCATAACTTTTTTTCTATTATAAATAGAAAGCTGAAATTTCCAGCGATTCTTATTCTAGAAGAGGACTACAATCTCTGAATTTTAGCTCATTTGGACTTGTAGTTTCAGAAATAAAATCACGTTAAGAAATTTGTGGTAAATTTATCATTTTTCAATTTTTCTGAGTGCCTTTTTTCATAGATTTTGGCTTCAAATTTCAGAATAATTTAGTGTATATGTCGCAGGCTTAATGTAAAATCAGTCTTATTATAATACGCTTAGGCTTTTTCAATACGACTAGGCATATCGTAATACTACCCAAATACCTAAGAATTTCACAATTAGACTGGTAATTTTAGTCTTATTATAATACGCCTGTTGTGTGTTAGTCTTATTGTTGAAATGAACCTGCATTAGAATCCAACTAGATGAAATCCGTCGTATTATAATACGACTGATAGAGCACCAGGCGAATTGTATTGAATAAAACTTTCAATGTGCATTTTGGCCGATATATTGTGCTGAACGCTAACTTTCTTATTCTTTATGCCAAAGAGACATCTTAATCACCAAAGTTTAAAGTATTTTTTCCAAATTTCGTCTCTGTAGCATAAATAATAGGAAAGCTACCCTTCAGCGCAACATGTATCTTTGTTTCTCTTTCTGGAATATCAATTATTTCATTACCTACTTTGGCAGTCAGTGATTTAAGATTTAATCCCTTGAAAACCATCAATTAAGTCGTGTGTATAGTACCAATTTCATAATCTCCATTCGTGATACTCACTACAGTTCAGGCACAAATATTACACAGAAATAAAACTAATAAACAATAATTATTAATATTATTCGACTGCCACACTGTCAGTCGCATTGTAACACTGTGATAAATTGTATGAATAGGAAATTAGATTTGATTTTAAGTAATATGAATGTTTCGGAATGTACTAAGTGTAACTATCCATTTGTAGGTGAAGATTTGTATCATCCAGCTTTAAATGTTGTCATTGATGTACATTGTAATTCTGAAGAGTGGTACAAAATACAACCTACCTATGCTTACGATTATGCTAAGGGAGACTATGACCTTTTGCATTACCTCATTGCATCCACAAACTGGTCTGAATTGCAAGAAAGTAATGATGTGAATGCTAAGGTGGATCATTTCTATCAAAAATTGTTCTCTTGTATAGACAGAGCTGTTGCAAAAAAAATTATTAAAATAAAGTCATCAAATAAACATAAATACCCAGTTTATTTCTCAGTAGAACTTATAAGAAATATCAGAGAAAAAAACCGTTTACATAGACAAGTCAAGAGAGGTAGGGCTGGAGTTAAACATAAACTTGAGTACCAGCACCAATTGTTAAAGCTCAAACTAAGTGGGATTATTAAAAATATCATGAAATGATTGAAATCAATTCAAATATTGACCCGAACAGTTTCTGGATGTATGTGGGATCGAGGGGAGACTCTAGGGGCATTCCATCTGAAATGAGGTACAATAATGTTGCAGTTGGTGAACCGAATGATATAGCGAATGCCTTTGCAAAGTATTTTGAATCTGTGTACAAGTGCTCTTCTGCTGAAAGAATTTTTGACTATCAGGGTACCTTTCAATTGTCATTGATTACTGAGGAAGTTGTTATGGCAGCCATAAAAAAACTAAAACCAAAGAAAGCAACAGGTAAGGATAATATACCTGCATACTTATTCAAGGGTTATGCCGAATATCTTGCTAAACCATTAACTTCAATTTTTAATTTAGCCCTTAAACATAATATGTTTCCTTCCAAATTGAAAGAGTCTATAGTTACACCTGTCTTTAAGTGTACAAACAAAATGAACATTGAGAATTACAGACCAATTAGTATCATAAATTCACTAGCAAAAATTTTTGAATCAATTCTTTATGATGATATTCTTGAAAACTTTAAACATTTATTTGCTCATCAACAACATGGATTTTTACCTGGAAGATCCACTGTTACAAATTTATGTATACTGGCAAATAGTATAACCGAGGCACTAAACAGCAAGATTCAGTTAGATGTCATTCTGACGGATTGTGCAAAGGCTTTCGATAAAGTTAATCATGGCATCTTATTAGAGAAGCTGGGTAAATCAGGCTTTTCTCTAAAAACTCTTTTATTTATAAACTCCTATCTCGAATGTAGATACCAACAAGTTAAGGTCGGTAATTGCTTATCTAAACCCTTCCTGGCAAGTTCAGGTGTACCACAGGGAAGCAATTTGGGGCCCTTATTTTTCGCTTTTTTTATAAATGATCTACCCAGTTGTGGCACGCACTCTTCAAGCTTAATATTTGCTGATGACTTCAAGATCTTTAAACCTATCGTCCAACCAGAAGACAGTTTACTGTTGCAGGAAGATCTATGCTCTGTTTCTAGATGGTTTGAAAATAATAAAATGACTTTAAATATGGATAAATGTGCAATAGTAACATTCACTCGTAAACACAGTATTTATGAACACCCTTATCAACTGAATGATTTCGAATTAAGTAGAAAATGCGAGTTTGAGGATCTGGGAGTGCATTTGCAGGCTAATTTCAGTTTCAATAATCATTATAATGTTATAGTTAATAAGGCCTATAAGATTCTAGGCTTTGTGATTAGGAGCGCAAAGTTTTTTAAAAATATCAGCTCTCTAGTTAAATTGTATAATGCATTGGTCAGGCCACATCTTGAATATGCTGCAGTAATTTGGTCACCTCAAGCCGAGGTCAATATAAATCTTATTGAAAAGGTCCAGAAAAGATTTCTGAGATTCTTATATGTCCGAAAAAATAATGCTTATCCATATATGGTATCATACAAGAGTATGCTGGATAGTTTCAATATGGTAACTTTAGAGAAAAGACGCCAGTATCAGGCTGTATTGTTTATATATTATATTATCAATAACATCAAATACAAAGATATCTTTCTAGTCAACAGTATAAAAATACTAGTACCTAAGATTAACCTGAGGATAAACAGTAGGAAGTTATTTTCTGTTGATAAGATGGATTGTTCAGTTATCAACAGAATGCTTAAAGAGTGTAATGATTTTATTGAAATGAGCAACATAGACCTATTGAACACTGATCTCAAGGCTATAAAAGCAACATTTTATACCTAGTTTGTATTTTGTAACTAGATTTAAGATATTTTAAAGCACTCTCTCTCTCTCTTACTTATAATTACTATAACAATTGTGTTTGTAAGAGTAACCTAAATAAATAAATAAATAAATAATACGACGGATTTCATCTAGTCAGATTCTAATGCAGGTTCATTTAAACAATAAGACTAACACGCAGCAGGCGTATTATAATACGACTGAAATTACTAGTCTAATTGTAAAATTCTTAAGTATTTGGGTAGTATTACGATTATGATATGCCTAGTCTTATTGAAAAAGCCTAGGCGTATTATAATAAGACTGATTTTACAATAAGCCTGCGACATATACAGTTTGGAGGATCCCAAATGATCATTTAGACACAAAATCTCAACATAAAAAAATCTGAAATTTTATCATTTTAGTACCAAAGGTTATGATTTAGATTTTTGTAAACTTTAAAAAATCACAACTTTTTTTCTACAGGAGTTAGAGAGCTGAATTTTCCAGCGATTCTTGTCCCAGTAGAGGACTACAATCCCTGAAAATTTCAGCTCATTGGGACCTATAGTTTCAGGAATAAAATCGTGTTAAGCAATTTGGGGTAAATTCTTCAATTTTTTGACATCCTTTGGCTTCAAATCTCAATATAATTTAGTGTATGGAGTTTGGAGGGTCCCAAATGATAAATTAGACACCAAATCTCAAGTCCAAATTATAGAAAATTTAAATTTGATTTAGTTTCAGTGTTTCAGTTAATTACAACTTTTTTCTATATGTCTAGACATAAGTTCAGCTCCTATCTAAATAAAATCAGATTAGGTACTTACCCAAAGGTAAGTTTGGTAAAACAGCTACATTTTCAGCTTCACTCCCTCCGCTCAGTGCATGAATAGTCGACTCAGACAAAGTACTCTTTTCAGTGTGCACCGACGTGTTATCTGAGTGGGTATCAGAGCACACGCTCTGAGAACAATCCGCATCAGAATCATTTGACGTTAAATCTGGAAAAGAGGGGTTTCTTTTCAAAAGATTGCCTATGATTTAAGTGATATTTAACTAACGCTTACTCTAATGCAATTATCTTAAAACTAATAGGATCAAAGGGGTGTCGAGAGACATAATTTTTATAGGAGAAACCCCACACTAGGGGACAAACTAAAATAGTGAAAGTGGGTGGTGGACCCCTTTAGGAGAGTGTTTCTAACCTGTTTCTTGGCCCAGGGACTCATTCTGATGTTCAGACATTTTTCTTATAATTCAGCGAACAAAACAGAACCTTTACATAATAAAAAAAATTGCACAATTTCTTTGTATGTGATGGAAAATTAATAGGAAATTTGTATTTATTTTCCTTTATTTACTATTTTGACATTTTGTACTATTTTATTAGTCAACAATGCAAAGTGAATGTGAGAGAATCCTTTTTCATTTTATATCCATCTTTTTTTAACACATATAAAAGAAAAGTGAGATAGCTAAACAAGAATGAAGAAATTGGATATAGTTCACGTGGCGCCATCTATGATCAAGTTAATTCACTTTCAACTTGAATTTGAATTTTCCGATTTATTTTCTATCCAGAAAAAAAAACTCTGGAAAATCATGCAAATCAAAAAAAAAAACACGCTTTTTCTCCTCATTTTCCATCCAAACAAAAACATCCTCACGCTCCTTAAAAAATCAGTTCTGCCGCCTACATATACATATAAGTTTCCTGGATATGAGCGGAGGCGTTGTGGTGCTTAGACGCCGACGCCGACGCTCCGATTATTGCGACGCTCTGGATAATCAGCTGATAGTTCGCGACTCAACAGGTCGGCATGCCTTAGATCTTGGCGTCTCGCGGCTTACCCAGATGCCTTACCGTAAAGGTCCCCCAAATAGGACCCAGTGTAGGCCCCCTAGTGATCCGTTGACCGCTTGTCTGGATGCTGACGGTACCTACATTTGTACCGCTTTTAATCCGAGATGTTACATTATTCAAAAGGTGCGTTGATTGTTCCATATGTTTACTTTTTTGTTGTTTAAACTTACAAATTATTAGCTTAAGAAAATTTTAATTGTATTGCTAGATTGTTTTGAATAGTTGCATGCCTTTTTATTCCAGCTTTCCAGTTACTTTTAGCTTCAGCTGTGTTTACCAACATTTTAGAGGCAATAAATCAAATATATATACGGCACTTTTGACAGACGAACAATAGTTATATTGATATGTTTTGGAAAACAAAATTTATGTTTGCAAAGTATTTTTATCCAGCTGGATTTTATTCCGGGAAAATGGGTTCCATTCCAGAGTTAAAGGGTGTAGGCGGTAAAGGATTTTGGCGGATCGATATAGGAAATGAATTTTGTCACACGACACACGCACCATAGCGAAACACAAGGCTACGAGGGCGTTTTTTAGAAGGGTTTGCGTTATCGATAACTTTGGAGTTTGGATCGATTACCATAAGAAACTTTTGCAATTAAAACTTTTTCGATTTCGCATTTCCGAGATTATTCATTGATTGGATTATTCTATCCAAAGTACATTATAGTTTTAGGTTTTGTAAAGAATAAGTCGAAAAGTATTGTAACTTCAGTATAGTTTGTTCAATTTTTTAGCGCAAAAAAAAAGACAAAAACATCCGCAATATTTTCGCGCCCTACTAAATTTGAATATTTTCGACCAACAGAAAAAGTTGGAGAAAATGAAAACCCGTGATTCACAGTTATGAGTACTTGGCTTTAGTGGCTCCACCTGAAGCCTAGTAGTAGTAGTACTCATGAAGCAGTGAAGGATAGTACCAAATCTGTCCTCCACCTTAAAACCTCTTAACCCTTTGTTTACGCGAGTCAAGTTGCGGGTCGAGTAATCTTGCCTTCGCACTTGCCTGGTTATGTTCTACTCGACTTGACTCACCAGTCACCAACAAACGCGTTTTCAAGTGTAGTTCCAGTAGGAATGCAAGTCGATTCAACATGGCGGAAAATCGCATTGTGTATTTGCTCCGCGCCCAACTTGAGTTGACTTTATTTGTTTTGTATTTTCAGGGATAATACCGATAATACCACGAGAGCTTCAAAATTACCGATAATTTTTCACGATTGCGTGTATTTTATAATTTCACGAGTCCGTAGGACGAGTGAAATTTGCAAAGAAAACACGCATGAGTGAAAAATTATCAATAGTAATATAACGAGTGCAATGGAAATTATCAATAATTTTTGGGAAATTTGGCCGAATGCATTTTTAGTTGAAAAATAGCACAAGTGTACGTAGTGCACGAGTGCCTTTTTCAGTTAAAAACGCATGAGTGCAAATTTGTCGAAAATTATAAATATATTTCCATTGCACGAGTTGTATTTAATGAGAGAATTTCATAAATCAAAAATTTAAATTTTTTGTCAAAACACCAGTTTTCGCACCAGTTACTATGCAATTATCTGCTTCAAAATTACCGATAATTTTTCACGATTATTGCGTGTTTTCTATAATTTCACGAGTCCGTAGGACGAGTGAAGTTTGAAGAGAAAACACGCATGAGTGAAAAATTATCTAGTCCATTTTATAAAGCTCAAGTGGTATTTAGAGGATTATTTCACGTATAAGAATGCAAAAAATATGGAAATAAATATGTATTAAACGATTTGAACATCTTAACAATCAATACAAATAAATCGTTGCTATCCGGAACCGTTTGTTTGCATCAAAAATTAGCATGACAACGATGTATACAATAACATGGGAGAATTATCGCTGTAATTCTCTCTAGTTAAACAAATGGAAAAGAGAATTTTCGCTGTAATTCTGAAAATCGTCACTTGTCTTATGGGATTTCTAACACATGAGTGGAATAATCGTATAAATCTCCATTCTTAGGTCGATTGAGATTGAGTGTACGCCACTCTGGTATTACCCTGTTTCTGAAAATCCCCACAACCTTCCCTGTTAAGTATGAATTTAATCCCAGGTACAGTTTTTGGATAATTAATTGTGATCTGATTATATATTAGAAAGTTCTCGTATACCTCAGACGCTACGCTGATATGGTATTTCACATGGTATTTTATAAAAGACACAAAAATCGTCTAATCTCTTATTCTATTTACATTTTGACAGCTGAGTTACTTGCTCTAATCCAACTTTTTTATGCTCGTTTTCTAACTTCTCATTTATCCTGAAAATTCTAGTATGATTAATTTTCCTTTGGTGTTTTTGTTGAAGAAATTATTAGAATTTGCTGTTCTTGCAGACGTAAATGGAACGTAGGCTAATTTTGACATAACATAGCGTTACGGTAAAGCATCCGCTAAGTCCCGTTAGATAGCGGGTTCCGCTAACGCTAATACCGTAAGAACTGTCATACTTGTCAAATAGCGTTACGGTATTTGAAATTTGGACAGCCCGAGAACTCTCTACTATCTGTTCACAATCCGATGTCCAAAGGTACAGGTAATTTTATCACCTTTTCCTATCAAATAGCACTGAAAGGTGATTTTTTACCTGTACAGGGTGTTTCAAATTCGAGCCACATCATTGGGATCTCGAAAACGGTGCGAGATACAGGGTTGTTCAAATACGGGCAAAGTTGCGTAATTTGATGCTCAATAAAATGCCGCTTTGATATTTCGGATATTGCGAATACTTCCTGTAATAACTTAACTTTAGAATAAAAGATTACCGAACGTGTTCAAAGGCTTTATTTAATTTCCGGATTTAAGTACAAGAGTTCCGTTCCATGATAGGTCTTTTCCCTAGCGTGGCCGTAGCAGAAGAGTGGGCTTTTGTTGCCTTTTCTGCCGTAGTCTACAATCTTTCAAATCTGCGCATGTGCGCTAACAAACCTAATTATGACCTTTATATTACGTGTGAATAGAGACTTTACACATATGCAACACTTCCGGAGATATCCGAAATTTCATAAAATCTTTTTTCTACGAGCGTGCGCAAAGTTGTTACTTTGCGCACTCATTTGCGTGCGCAAAGTTGAACTTTGCGCACGGAAACTCTTTGCGCACTTATTTTTGTTACGCATAGTTACCGCATTTATACTCGATTTTTCAATGTTTTGTGGGTTTCTTGATGAACTTATATTCAGAAAGAAGGGCCTGATGTTATTTTTGTTCCAATAAAAGCATTCGATAGGTTTGTTTTTTCTGCCAAATTTTTGTATGGAGGAGTATAATATATATATTATATATTATATATTATATATTATATATTATATATTATATATTATATATTATATATTATATATTATATATTATATATTATATATTATATATTATATATTATATATTATATATTATATATTATATATTATATATTATACTCCTCCATACAAAAATTTGGCAGAAAAAACAAACCAAACGACTTATTCAAATTTCAAATAAACCTCGTTAGTACAACCAATTTTGAGCATCTGGAAATATTCAAAAAGATTAGGTATACAGCTCCTCTGAATGAAAATCTTGAACACTCGTAGAAAAAGTATTGTTCCTAACACTTGCGCAAAGTGTCTTTCCCGCACTCAAAGCTCATCCGAACTCCGCTTCGCGTCGTTCGTCTAACTGCTTTTTCGTGCGGGAAAGTATCACTTTGCGCACTTGTTAGGAAAATGGAGAGATATTGCTCGACAAAAAACGTCATGCGCTAATAACGCTTACGGTATTTTGACGTTTATTGGATGCGCGATTCGCTTTTTTACGTGTCTTCCGCTATTAGGGTTAGCGCTTCGGGTTATTTATGCTTACGTACCGTTGGGCGCTATTCAAAATACCGCACAATATTGACATGACAACTGACAACTCCTACTTCGATTTTTCTCTGGAGAGGTTAGGATTTTTGTTTATTATTTATTTCTTTGTGTTATGGGTTAGGGTTTTGGGTGCCAACTCAAGTTCTCACTTCTGAGTTTGTGTTTTGTGGCAGCTTGTTTGGTTTGTATGTATTATTTTAAACAAAATGTCCCTTGGAACTGGTGTTGGTGTTCCCTCGGTGGGTCCAATAAAGCCAAAAGACGGACCGAAGAGGTTAGAGATAGAGATATTGAGTTCCAGCCCTGGAATCTTGAAATGAATAACACTAACCTCTAACAGAATTACGGGTTGAAGTATGAATTGCTTGAGGGATTCTTAGAGCTTCTGCCAATCTATAGATATCTTGCCTCTCAAATCGAAAATTATTTTTCACATCTTCTTCCTGCATATTATCCAAATCAAATTCAATATTAATATTAGGGTTTTGAAGGACTTCTCCTTGGTTTTGCTCCACTCCTAGTATATGGTGCAAAATCACATACTCAATAGCATTCTCGTTAGCCCCAGCTAAGATCACCGCCTCAAGATCTTCCTCCATCATAAGGTATGTAGGTACCTCTATCACAGTTTTTCAATTAACTACTTTTTTTTGAAATCTGATTTCTGAATCAAAAATCAACAAACAAAATAAACAAAAAAGTCAGGTTATAGGTTGTATCGAAACATTTGACATTTTGACTTCTACATGAGCGCAGCGTTAATTATAGAAATAACGTGGCAATAAGTTTCATTTTCAGCTTTTATTTATAGCTTGACGTTATGTAATAGCGCGGCGTAAATATCGTAATGCATGCGGTATTGTGATTGGCAATATCTCTCTAATAACTATTTTTTTTCTGACGTTATTTGAAAAGATATATCAAAATAAGTGACATTTTGTTATGGCCGCTTTTCCTCTCTTATACAAGATAGCGCGCTGTCAGATTTGAAATCCGACGTGTCCTTTTCTAGCAACAATCATCAACTTAATTTTTTTTTAAATACGGCCCTGGATTTTTTATTTTGTTACCTTCCGCTCTCCTAAAAACAATGACATATCACAATCACAATCTTTGAAAAAATTATCGGCATACGAAAAATAATTAATTAAAAAAAAAAGAGCAGCTCTTTTCTGATACTTTTGATAGGATACTTTTGAATAGCTCTTATCACCGCTATTATCGACCCTCTCATAGCTTTGGCAATATTTTTCTTTCAATTTATCAATGAACTTTAATGTCAAAATGTCATGTCAAAAATCCTCACCAATAAAGAAACAATAATGCGACCAACGTTTTCGAAATCAAAGCAATCTTTGATTGATTTTTTTTTTTGAAGACCCGATAATCTCCATTCTTAGGTCGATTTAGTGTGTACGCCACTGGTGTCACCCTATCTCCTACGATCCATTTAACCTTCCCCATTAGTATGAATTAAATCCCATGGACAGTTTTTGAATAATTGTCATCTGATTATATAATTTTGTATATTTTCATGTAAATCTTCATTCGCAGGTCAATCGAGTATACGCCATTGGTGTCAACCTGTTTCTGACAACCCCCTTAACCTTCCAGATAGTAGGTATGATTAGTATGAATCTAATCCCATGTACAGTTTTTGAATAATAAATAGTCATCTGATTATATAATTTTGTATATTTTCGTATAAATCTGTCTTCGTTGGTTGATCGAATGTACGCCACTGGTGTCGCCCGGTTTTTTACAACCCAGTTGGAATGTTTACCCCGAGGTTATACTTGGGGAGTGACTCGCTCTTAGGACTCGCTATGAGAAACCGGCACTATATCTGTTCTAGCCTTTGAATATAAAACTACAGGAAGGAGCGTTTTCTATCTGTCACTACATTGGTCACTACAGACAACGCAGGGACGGAAACGACCATTTTGAGCCTCCAAGTATGACTCATCATTTGTTTTGGTGGTTCGCTGTGTCCTCATTCAAGTGGATGTTTAATGGATTTTAGCGGTTTTAGGTGATAATAAGCACTGGGATTAGTGCGGAAAGAGTGAGTCATAATATTCACAATCATATTTAAATAAATATACGCCACTGGGGGAAGGGTTGGAACGGTTCTGGAATTGCGCAGAACTGCTTGCGCTCAAAAAATATTGGACAACTGTTCAATACTAATCCTGAACCAATTCGGAACCAAAAAAACCAAATAAGCTGCTTATCACAAAATTCCAAAATAGTTCCTCCTTCAGAGCAAAAACTGAGAGAACCGTTCTAAAACAATCCCAGAACTGTTCCTATTTATATAGTTCTAATGGCCATTTCCACCAACTATTTTAGGGGAGCCCTAACGATAGGTATGCCTTAAATTGACATTTCTTCATGTAAAAATGTCATTTTAGGGAATACTTATCGTTAGGGCTCCCCTAAAATAGTTGGTGGAAATGGCTAAAAATAAATCAAAACGCTGTCAATCCTTTCGATTACGGTTCTGAAAAAACGATACGCGTTTTCTAACATGCGCATGTGCAGAATGATTTCGAACTAGTTCTGAGTGAAACCAAAACAAAGCTATAGTCTCTGGTAATATCCTTGCACAAATATCCTTGGCGGTTATGGCAAACAGATGATGTCATTAGGTGGTTCTTATAGAAGTTTTCAGGCAACCTATTACTATAGCTTACTGGACCAATAGGGAACTTGCATTACTTGCAAGTGAACTAAAATTTTCCAAATTTGTTTTAAATCGATAGTTTATACTGCACAATATTTATATGATCTTATTTTTATTTAACTGATACCGCGTTTGTTACACAAAATTTGAAATAAAAAATTTCCCGCCCGAACAATGCTTCTGATGGCTACCTTTTTTGACGTCACGATTCTGTAAACAAACCTGTCAATAGAGAACTTGCAAGTGAAATAAAATTTACGAAAGCAGCCCTTCACAATATGCTTCATCCATTGACACAATTTTCACAAAAAGCAAACTTTAACACACTTGAATAACACAAAAATAGCACTGCGTCAGCAGAAGTTCGTTTGCTGCGTTTGTTGTTTACAAAATCTTGACGTCATGAGCGCTGTCATATTGAAATTTCGCGTTTCCGCGCCAAAGTTTTTGATTTGAATTTCAATAATTTTTTTTTCGTACAAGGTATAAATTGAAATGGAAAAAAAGAAAACTATGTAATATCTGATCACTAGAAGTATCTAAAAAAAATAAATTGAGAAATATGAAAATTTGCTTTTACTGAACACATCCCTTAATTGATGGCGGGCCAAATTGAGTGATATGATTGGTCTAAAGATAGCTACGTTCACGTTGCCAAACTTCCTTTACCTATACATCCCATCCACTCCAATTCATTGTTCACTCCACATGCACTGATTTCAATCCACATGACGTTGTTAAAATTTTAGGCGCGAAAAATTTGCGTTTGCAGGAAATTATTCGTAAAATTAAAAAATGCAAAGTTTTGTTGAATTCCCCTTTTGAAAATAAATCACAATAACGTCCTTTGAATGCAATCGTAAACGTCAATGTTAAAACTTCAAACAAAAATGAAAAATGATGTCTTATTTGAATTTTAAAAAAATGGTAATTGTGGTATGAAAAATCAAATATTTATTTATTGGTATATTTTATAAGGGTGTTTATTTCCAGGTGAATTCCCCATGTACTGCGGGAGCTCCGCCGCTGGCCCTGCCATCGACTTCCAGTACCTTTTTTAACGATATCGACGGATCGGCCCTAGAATCCAATGTAAGCCTTGAAGGTCAGGGCTGCTGGGAACAATGCCTGGAATATCCGTGCACCCACACACTGGACGGTAAGAGCACAAAAAAATCGATTTAACTTTTCAGGCGCGGAAAACCGTATAGCTTCGGCAATTCGTTGATAGATGGCGGTAAAAATATTTTTGACCGGGCAGTTCACTACCTATTCGTTTCGTGTGGCATGTGCCCCAGAGAGACGGCCATTTTGCCAAGTACCCTGTGAAATTGTGTCGAATATTGCGAAAAGTTTTATCACTAGCGGTAAGCCCCAAAATATTATTAATCGATTGTGGCCCCTAGGATTAAGCCGTGAAAATTCCCGGTGTGTCCGTTTTTTAAGTGTCGTTCGCGTGTTACAAGACAATCAGTAAAACGAATACATCTGCGACAACAAATCTATAAAATAATAAAATCATCATCGTGTGTGTAGTGTGCCAACGGTGTGAACACTTTGGACAGGTTCTGATGGAAGCCGATTAGATAGAGCACCACCGCATGCGGAATTTTTCTTTAAAAGAAAATCTACTTAAAATTACGTCGCGTTAAAGAAAACGGGGTGGTCGAAATTTTTGGTTTGAATAACGTCGCCGTCGGCCAATTTCGTTAGCATTCAATTTCTACTCATCAAATCGGCCAAACGTAATCGACGTGCCCTTTTCAAACAATCTTCATAGGGACAGTGCACCAGGTACGAATTTCGCCTATTTTAAATAAAATATCACGTAACTGATTGTGTGTCAACACAAAAATATGCCAAGAAGATTGTAGTGGTGGTTGCTGGCATTAAACGACCAAGCCTCACACACGTTATTCCTCGTTTTATTTACGTATTTATAATTTGATTTTGCTGCCACTATTTGACAAGTAGTGTTTTCTTATTCTACCCTTTAAAAAAATATATTGAGATCAAGCGATGACCTTGACTTGAAGTTGAAAAAAAAATTACACCCATCACTTTTCCAAGTCGCGGAAAATAAGGTTAGGTTTCCACTTTTGCAACAGACTATCACCGTCGCCACCTTTTCAGCCAGTACCATGCATGGTATGTATGTTTTAATAATCTTTTAAATTTATCTGTACTTGTGTTGTAACTTTCACTCGTGTTGTGGCTTTTTTTTTCCACACACACACACACACCACGGGGAAAAACCTGAATGATTTGACAGATTTGTGTTCGCCACAAATCTTTTGTTGTGCTGTGCGATGAATATTTATTTTATTATTATGGATTTTGCCCCAACATATTGATCTTGTAGTATGTCGACTTTTTTTAATTATTATTTAGAGGTGAGAATTTATGTGTGTAGTTTTTATGTAATAGTCATGAGTATTGCACAGTAAACTGTCCAGTCACTTGGTATGTAAATAGTTATCCAAACAGTCATCACATTATATGGACTTTTAAAATGCTTACTTTTTTGAAGCTCATACAGTCTATTCTAAATTCTTATAGTGGATAATCATGGTTCAAACATTTTTATTATTAAAACTGAAAAGTAATAGCTGAAAATTTATTGTCAGTGTAATTCAAAATAGTGTTACAGGCAAATTGGCTGTTTCACTAGAATTTAAGCATAAAATTTTAAATGAGAGACTATTTTGAGTCTGTATGTAAAAAAAAAGATCTATGAGGACTGTTAAGTTAGTTTTTTTACAGGCACCAAAACTCAAAAGTGAAAAAATTTCAAAATCATTAAAACGCGCGAAAAATGACGTATTATTTTAATAAAATGTAGAAGTGATTCTCATTGGTAAAAGGTTTGAATTGCACTGTTGCCAGTTATGATTGAATGTAGTGTAGATAAGTATGTAGTAAAAAAATGTGTATAATAAGGTAATTTGAAACAAATAGCTATGTATGCAACAAGTGTGTAAAGTGAACCTTTTTTGGGGCTTTACACCAGGGTTGCATTGATTTAAATCAGTGATTAAAATCGCGATTTTAATCAAATTATTATTATATTTTAATCGCATGATTTAAATCGCGTTTTTGTAATTTGGTGATTTATAAAAAATATCAGTAAACATTAAGGATTTTTTAGCGAGTAACTGAAATTAGGCCTTTTCGGAAACGCTTATGATTACCAGCTGTTTGTTTTTTGTCTTTCTTTAATGAACATGATTGAAAAAAGACATAGTACATCAGCTGGTGATCCGGTTAATAAAATCAGCGATTCTGAAAAGGCCTAATTTCAGCTTCCGTTTATAACACGGTTACAAACGGTTAGTTGCTAAAAAATCCTTATTAAATCAAAATCCAACTAATTGAATTTATCTACGCTACTGACAAATGGGATAAATTAAATTTATCTATATCTACACAACTAACACTAAGCTGGATTTATAGTGTCAGTATCAGTAACAGTAACTTAAAACTTAAGAACAGATATGAAAATAACTATTTTTTAAGTTTTACTGATAAGTTTGTTGTTAAGTGAATTTTAAATGGCTTTACGGTCGGCCGTGTTTTAATATTCTACTGTTACTGCTACTGTTACTGATACTGACACTATAAATCCAGCTACGTGACACCACCGGACCTTGGGTGAGCAGCGAACATGTGGTAATCAGCTGTTAACAGCCAGTGGCATTCTTAGCACAGGCCGCATCATACCTTTATCTTTATCTTTCTTTTGTCCCTAAAAAGGATGGACATACACTCGGTTGCTGCACCAGTTTAATTATACGAAAATGCTATTTGATTGGATCTTCCTGGGAATCCCTCTAATCATCGTCTGTCGTTAATTAATAAAAAGTAAGGATGTCTAGCAGGAAGAAAGACAACATAATTTTGTGTTTAGTTTAGGGTGTTGTTGTATGATAAATAAAATCATTATTTAAATCGAAAAAATCTGATTTAAATCAAAAAAATCCGATTTAAATCAAAAAAATCTGATTTAAATCAAAAAAATCTGCAACCCTGCTTTACAAAATGTTACATACAAAATTTTTCCACTACTGACTGACAATATAAAGCCATACATTCAAAAAAAATTTAGGTATCACAACTTTACGCCCTAGTGTCTAAAGTAACTTATGTATTTCACAGGCTAGGGTGTAAAGTAGTTCAGCGATTTTTAACGCACTTCTATGTGAAATATAATTTCACAATACTTTTGAAGAGTGTGTAAAGCTCGGTGTAAAGTAAGTAGGTACCCACAATATTAGATTTTTTTTTTTAATATTTTTAATTTTTTTTTCATTCCAGGCTCTTGAGTCTTAATTATTTTTTTTATGGGACGACAAATAAGAGAAAACAGGAGTTCAAGAACCTGGACTAGGGAATTTTGTAAAAAAAAAAATTGACAATTAAGAAATGAGTAATAAAGGAGAAAAAAAAGAATGTATTCTACTCTTTTATGAAAAGAGATTTGAAAAAAAACAAAAATTCGAAAGCCTGGAAAAGTCAAAAATTTGACCACAAATTTAACATAAAGGAGAAAAGAAAAAAAATACTTAATAATAATTTTTTTTTCCATTCCAGGATTTTGAGAATGTTGCTTCTTTTTTTATGAAAAAAATTGGGAAGGAAACAGAAATTCGAGAGCCGGTAATAGTAAAAATTTGACACTGAAAGAAGCAAAATAGAGTGGAGAAATTTATGAAAAATTCATAATTTTATTCTCTATTCCAGGCTCTTGAATGTTTCTTATTCTTTTAAGGAAATTAAATTCAAGAGCCTGCAATAAACAAGTAAGAAAAGTGAAAACAGAAATTCAACAAACTAGAATAGTAAAAAATTGACACTAAAGAAAAGAGAAATAGAGATGAGAAAATTAAGGAAAATTCATCATTTTTCCTCTCTATTCTAGGCTCTTGATCTTTATTCTTTTACAAAAAGAAACTCGTAAGGAAACAGACACCAAAATTGACACCAAAGCAAAGAAAAATAGAGAGGAGAAATTTAGTTTCTCAGAAGAAACTAGGTATCAAAAATGAACTAACAAATGCAGGGTATGGTATGGTACAATACGCTTGAAGGGTGTGCAAATCATTCAGTACCTTTCAGTTTAATTCAGTACCGTTTAGTATTCATTATTTCAGCATTCAGTTTTATTAAGAACCATTTAGTAGGTACCTTGGTAAAGTTTGTTTTTTTTTTAAAGATAAAAGTCAAAATGACATTATGTTGGCAATACAATGTAATGTATTGTCAATGCTTTCAAATTTTTATATAGAAAAGGCTTGTGTTGCCAACATAGTTACTAGATTTTTGACTTGGGGAATTATCTTTAAAAAAAAACAGACTTTAGGTACTTATCAGTATGATTCAGTATTTGTTTTTTTGACATAATTCAGTACTTAATAATAAGTATTTTCAAGTATTATTCTTTGGTATCTCTCAGTATGTTCATAGTGATTTTCATTATTCAGTATTCAACAGAATTGAGAACTTAGACTTATAGATCCTGAATAAAGGTCCAGGACCTGATGGAATACCTCCAACATTTCTTAAGAACTATGCACTAGCCTTATCTAGAACCTTGTGGCTGTTATATAATAAATCATTGTCTGTTGGAGTCTTTCCAAAACATTGGAAACTATCTTTTGCATGTCCGATTTTTAAAAACTCTGGCAACAAGGAAGATGTTGAGAATTATTGCCCTATTACACTATTATCTCATTTCCCAAAGATATTTGAATCACTGGTAAACGATGTTTTAACTGAAAAACTTAAAAATATAATAATTCCAGAACAGCATGGTTTTACCAGTGGTCAATTTATAACAACAAATTTGCTAGTGTATAAACGAGCCATATCAGGGGCCTTGGAAGCCTGTCAGGTTGTAGATTCTATCTATACTGACTTCTGAGCGTGCATTGTTGATAGAAAAACTTCCCAATTATTGTGTATGTGGTTCACTTCTTCAATGACTGTATTCTTATCTTGTAGACAAAAGCCAAATTGTAAAGGTGAAGTCATTTCAATCTGAGGTTATTAGTGTTACTTTTGGGGTGCCTCGGGGGGGGTCATCTTGCACCACTCCTGTTCTGCTTATTTATCAATGACATAGGGTCTTGTTTCCATCATGTCCAATTTTTAGTATATGCT